AACCCTAAATACTTTCCGGAAGTCTAACATTTTGCGATTTCGTATTTGAATAGACATCATTTTATCGGTGAAAACAGACTCTAATACCGTGATTTCAACTCTCGAATGGCTACTCCCTCGCGAAAATATACAGGATATAATTTCCCTTCATTTATTAAAAACACCTTAGATTCGGGTATGAAGTAAATGGGGATAGCGTGGTTACTTCGTCGTAGGTCACCCAAGGATTTTGTTGCAGTAGAATTGTCAAATAGGCTGTGACAGAATCAACAACTGACAATGATCATCAAGGACAGCCATTTTTGTAACAAGACCGCTGAATTTTGCAGGACACGTTCATGGCTATCCCAATAATGCGTTCAGGGTCTCTGATATAGTTTTGACTTCAAGGACGGAAGCCTTTAAGTCGACGGCCTTGCTTTTCTCGACCTGCCTTTAGCATAAGCTTGCTACCGTGGTGCTACCGTGGTAACGGTTACTTCTGCTGGTAGGGAGCGTTTGTTTATCTATTCAGCAGACGCCGGGTCACCGTGACCTCCACATTCCCCCACAGACGGGTCACCGTGACCTCCACGCCCGCAGGACGGGAATGTTTACAAAGTCGTGACATTGAACCTGTCGGCTGGGCAAGCTTTCTCAGCAACATTTGTATAAGTCAGGTCCTGTCCTTAGTTCTTTAGTTCAGCCGTGAACCCACGGTCTGCCCAAACCCTCATTACATGATCGTGACTTTAACATTTTGAACCGTGGTATAGAGCGGCGCATATGTTTGACTATATTGCAGCTTTACTAAACACTCGAGACCCCCACCTGTTGATGACAACCACGTGATACCACGTGGTAACCACGTGATAGGCGATGTGGGCCATGATAGATGTCGCCCCAGTTGTGTCGGGTTTTATTACAGTGTAACATCTGTCATGTCCAAGGACACCACAGGATGTCCAGGTCAGATGGAACCAGCAAAAGCCAGTTCATGTGGAGAAATTGGAACACGCCGCTTTATACCCAGTGGCTACCGGAGAGGTAATCGACTGAATCAAGGACGTTCTAGTAGTTCTACGTCCTTGACTGAATTGAGTCATTCCGCGGTAATACTTGTACGCTGAGGTGAAAGGCTACCCACCCTACAGACCAATCACTGTGCATGAGAAATTGACCATCAAAGTAGGCAAGAAGAGGTAACTTTTTTTTCTTTTGTTATATGTTTATTAGTTTATACGATAGATGAACTGTACCTAGCCCTTACAGGCATGAAATTTAGAATATCACTTATTTCCGGAACCCTCTTGCGTCCTTGTTTGACACTAGCTGGCTCCACACAGACGGAAGTCGGCCGACCTGTCGCTCATTATCAAGGTCATGGCGCCTCTAACGACTTATTAACGTCCCCTCAGTTCGCGCGGTCTGGGAGAAGGTCGCACAGCACGAGCCGGATATGGACACTCTCACGTGACCATGGTGTAGTCGGTAATACCACCAGAGACTAGTCCTGGGGCATGTCCTATTCACCTACTGTATCCCAGGGAGCATTTGTATCTACAGACTTCCGTTGTCACAACGTTTATAGAAGTATAAGGAGGGAAATAAACGAACTCTCGATCGGTTTGCCAAATGATTCATTGAACTTGACAATCATTTCCTGTGACTCAACGGCTGCAGTGTTCATAAGGCCTCGGTCCACATGCTTCGTGCGATAGTATAAACATGTCTAGGGACAGTTATGCATGTGTCCTGCAAAATTTAGCAATCTTGTTGCGAAAAAGGCTGTCTTAGACCCTTGTCAGTGGTTGATTCTGTCACAGCCTATTTAGAAATTTTACGGCATCAAAATTGCAAGACGGCGTACAACCATGCAGCTACGACGAATATGACCGCGCAGTTAACGGCATTCCTTTACTGAAGTTGTCCCTGTCACTTCATCCAGGTTAGATGGACAGAACACTCGGACTATGCTATTGAAGCAACAGTATGGTTGAATGATGAGGCAACGTGGCGGTGGTTCATAGCTTGCCCTGGTTATAACCCTCGCCAAGCTGAACCTGCATTTGATGCAGATGCGAATCAGTTTTCTCTAGGTCGCTCGTTCAAGGGTACTCGTCTGGACAAAACACTGTAAATGCATGAACTTTCGCGGTGATTTTATTTTCGCGATGTTCTCTTCACGCGAAATCATGACATCTCGAATCTGTGCTTTTCATTTCTATGCTGCAGAATTTGCTTCAACCTTGAACTTCAAACACCGCGAAAACCTTATATCGCGAAATAAGACCACGGCGAAATGAAACACATTTACAGACACGTACCACACTCCCCTACCATGTAACGTTCATGTGTGAAGCGGTAGAGACTGTCTGGGTCAGCTGGTGACAGAACTGGTGCTGTACCCGGACATGACCAAATAAAGACCAGCCGTCTGGTCCCGGAGTCACCCACCTGTCTAACGTGTACACGGCGACTAGTCAACTGTTCGTGGAACAAACATATCACACACGGGCCAACTCCGTCAGCAAACGCCAGGAGATAGAAATATCGCCGAGGGTGAGGTCAAGGTCTCAAAGAACATATAGAGCCGCATTTGTACTACATAAACTTTGACAAGTAGAACACACAGACCAAGGCTGGGACATGTGTAGTACAGCGTTGTCGCGGCCGTGAAGTAAGCTGTGTCCATGGGGAGTACTTTCAGCGGATTTGGAGTCATCTATCACCGTGAAGCAGAACATTTGCACATGATTTAAGGTGTGCTTAAGGAATGGATTTTGTGAACTGTTGGAATGGATTTTGTGGGTTGTTTGCACGATTGATATCGGTTCCTATGTCTTGTACAGTATTTCTCTGGGTCACGACGTTGGCGCTATGAAGTAGACTCCTTAGTGGTCTCTACGAGTCGGGCTTTTTTGCAGGCTTATGTGCTTTTTTCCTGAAGGCGTGTCACTTGCAACCGTCGCACCTATCCACCTATGCCACCCCACCCCCCAAATCTCGACTCGTCTAGACTGCTAAGGTGGCTATATCTCCGGAGGCTGTCTTTCGACAACTGCCTATAGAGGGTACAACACCGTTATGTCAGAGTTCACTTTGAGGGCACCAGGGCAACGGATATAGGATTAAGACTACCACATGCGTTCAACACTACACACTAAAGATTCTCACAATTTATGTTTACTCTGCGGGAGGTCAAGTTTTAGGTCAGGGGTAAATCGACCACTGCTAAAGGAAACGCACGTGGCCAACACATGTTCAGGGGGCAGGGATGTCTCTTCTCTCTTTACACCTGTCGTGAAAAAGGCACTCGATTTGTAGCCGAAAGACATTTGTTTAGAAAGTTACCGGTAACTCAATATCTTCAAAGGTCAGGAGGAAGACCACCCATAGAACCCCAAACATGTATATTTCCAGGCCTTTCCCTCGACACGGAAGGCTGAAGGAACCGTTGTGACATAATGTCTGTCTTAGGGTCAGGGAAAGTCGACCTAGCACGAACTAAAGTAACAAACGAACCTCAGTTCATGATGTTACCTGCATCTTTGGTAAGGTTTGCAGTCAAAAACCTTTGTGGGAATTCTTACTGTCAGAATGAACAATCTTACAGCGCGGGTATATTTCGCGGGTATATATAGGTCATCCTACGATTTAATGTAGAATTTGCAGGCTGTGACAAAACCAGTCGGAGACAGCCTTTTCCGTACACGCGTAAGAAGCTGAATTTTGCCGGACACATGCACGGCTATCCCAGGAATGCCGATCGCACCGTGTATATGACAGGCCCTTAAGCGTTCCGGTCAACTTCCTCACAGCAATGTAAAGTTGGCTGATTTAAGTCACCCATTAATAATGATTTACTTCACAGGTGGGAACTTAACGATAAGCCGCGAGTCTGGGGCAGTGATCCGTCAAATCTAATTCCGAACTCTGTCTTAATTCCGACAGAATCCGGCCGTCCTAGCTACAGTCATGAAGGAAGGACCACAAATAAGCAACAGATGAGAGTCATAACCAGCCTTTCAAAACTTTAATTACATTTTATGTGGCCACATGTGCGTCGTTTAGAGCGTTGCCTGTAGCGGTGAAGGCAGACTGTTCGGAATGCGTGTGTCACGAGCCCCGCCAGGACACACTGCGGAGAGATAAGTGTTCATTACCGCCGCATTCGCCGCGGGCCTCGGGGAACGGGAGGGCAAGCAGGGGCCAGGCAAACTTAGAACAAGTCACCTCTAAATAGAACATAGATATGTTACTTTCCACAGACCCGGTAGACCCTTCCTGAGTAGACTGTGACAATGACTAGGTTGCTGACTACAACAGACTTGCGATGACCTTGACTGCACGGACGTTGGGGAGGGGGGGGTAGATTTTACTGAACAAGAAAGAACGCTGCGGAGGTCTATTTCTTCGCAACACCCAGTCGATATTTGTCAACACGACCGATGTTTACAAAAACTGTGTAATCGGACACTGCCGGGCAGAGCAGTTAGTGTGGCCTACATCTTTCTCAATTGGAGAGAGGGGTAAGAGGATAGCAGTCCAGGTGACGTCATAAATTCCATAACCCATCTAAATGGAGAATTCTCTGAAATCCTGCCATCGTTGAGTTGTGCATATGGGACATTTGCGTCATCAGAATATCTGTTGTCGCTCGGGATGTTGCTAACCCCCCAAGCTGACAGGCACTAGAACAGGGTGGTCATGACCATTTACTGACATGCCACTTCTCTCATCCACCAGTCGTTGCCATGGCGACGGCGTCTGTTGCTAGGCAGCATTAGCCAGTAGGAAAAGTACAGCAAATGATGACGTTACCTTGCAAATGAATGACTGACTAGTGAGACAAAGCTAAGGCTTCAGGACCGAGACGCTTCATTCCGCATTCAGCCGGCCCAGGCAGAACAGGGGTCTCAGCGTCTCCCTCCGATCCGGTCTCAGCCAGCACAGGGACATTTTTCTATATATAAGTAGACAACAGACAACTTACTACCGCACAAATCTGCCTCTTACAGAACACAAAGCTCTAGAGAAGAAACCATGACTGGGACCGGAGTTTTCCTGGCGTGTCTAGCAGCGCTGCTGTCCGCGGCCGGAGCCAACGTGTTGCTGTCTGAGGTGCCTTGTAAGGGCGACACGGCCAAGCAGAAGTACACGCTGGTGTTCGAAGGTCTGTGGTCCGAGAAGAGGTTCCCAAAGCAGTACCCGATCTACCGGCCAAAGGCTTCCTGGTCTTCTCTTGTCGGTACGTCGTCTTTATACTTTCTTCAGGGTCTTGTAACTTGTATTATAGATGACGCTTCCTATCGTTAATCGTGAAAAATGTGATGTATATATACTATGTCATATTTCCCATAACATGCCAAGGAGTTGTCACTGAAAGGTAGACGTTTACCAAAATATCTGTCACCCCATTCCGTGTTTTGAGTGGTTGTAAGTTTAGCGCGCATAGTTGGCGTGCCACCACGAGGCACAGACGTAGCCTGGATGTCAGAATGTTGCCAGAGCCTACACAGCCCAGCTCCTCGACTGCAGTGCCAACATCCTACAAGAAAACTTTTACCACAGGCATGCATCCTTCAGTTAGACCCTGTTGCGCAGGGTGTAACCTAGCTTGTGTAGGCTCCGGAAACAGCCTGGCTAGCAAGGACGTTTGGTCGCGACAATGCATCCCTTGCCACGGTTTTTAGTACGACGTTTGTTTATAAAGAACAACCTTTAGAACTGAAGCTGTAGGTTTGCTAAATAATTACGGTCCCACATACGGCTCAAGACGGTTTTGTGCCACCGTTCTGCAAGGACTGCCATTGCTTTTGTGTGGATCTCTTTGGCATTGATGAACGGACAGAGTACAGTCTACTTTTTACACAGCTGGTAGCGTTTATACACAAACTGAACCGGTTGCCTGAAATGTGCACCAGCAAAGGTTTGTTTGAACAATTGCGCCCAAGGTAACAAGCCAGACTACAAAGAGATACCGGTGCCTTTCTGTGACCCCCAAATTCCACTGCATTTCGCTATTCCCGCATGCTCATATATCCTGATACCATGCGATAGGAAATGTTTCAACACTCTGGCGAACACGGTACAAAATTTATGACCTTTATCCTAAAAAAGGGTTCACAAGCTTTGCCACATGGGTAAATATGGATGTAATTAGCACACAATGTTTCTTCACAATATCGTCTGTACGTGCTGCGCCTCCTGCTTCAGACCCTACCGAGCCGTCCAGAGCCGTGCGACTGTCGTACGATCACAGACTGAGGACATTCATGGGATGGTCTTGAATGTGTCGAACAAAATCCAGCTGTTTTTTCACAGGAAAGACTGTCTTAAATCCTTCTCGGCATTTGGCCATGTTTCAGTAACAACCTGCTTAAAAATCCTACGACATAAAAAAATCGTGCGATGACGTATGACGAACGCGACCTCTCCGTATTAAACTGATGAAAACCACACAACTACGAAACAACTGTTGTAAGACCGTCTACTTGGACGTGCCGAAGATAGAAATGTCACAACATTGAACGCAACGCTTTTCTACACAGAATCAAAACCATTCCAGTAGTGGCTAATTATCCAGTAGTTTCCCTGATCACGGAATAGTTTTACTGCAATTATGGTGACCTTGTGTGACGGAATTTCCAGACCTGATGAAGACGGACGAAAGTCGAGTGAAACAGACGATAGCTTTCAGAGTGTGACGCTGCTCAGAGTGTAAGCATTTTCTCAGCACTAGTGTATAGTATTGGATGGCAGGACCAGTGAAGGCCACTCACGGATCAAGTTACTAGTGATTCTGTCGACCGGACAACTCGTATATAACCGTGCACTGCCGCCAGCAATGCAAGAATAGACTGGCCGTAACCGGCCGTTCTTTTTGACGAATTATGGCCACAGAATAGAAAGAGGACAGGTCATTGACCTTAGCCTGGGTGCCATCCTCCGTATTTTCCGCCGGCTCCCTAATGCTGCTGGCTTCCCTCAGTTTAATAGCGTCTCTGAAAGTGGTGAAAGTAACATACTGGAGGAGCATTGTCGCGTTAAACAAACCATATCGTAGTCATATGGTTATGGGCTTAAGGTTTAGGTTAGGCTTTAGGTTGGTATTGTGTTCAAATCTACAATGCGCCATTCTTACTGTATTGAGGCTATCGAATTGCTCAAATCGATCAGAATGTTGTTAACCAGGAGGAGAAATAGCTTAATACCGTTGGAAAGTCGGTAAGATGTGGAAAACGGAAGGAATTCTTTGTAAAGCGCCATCAGTTAAAATTTAATCTAACACTGACGCCTATTCCTCAGATCTGGTCCCGTATTCGGGAACGGCCCGCATTTTAGTACAACCATTCCTCCTTCAGATGTACGGGTTCACTGAGTCGCGGCCTTGTAAAAACACACAAATCCCATCCGCCTTGTGAACACCCCAGCCTACGGGTGTGCTCACTTGCTTGACGCCAAACAGTGACACGGAATTTTGGGCCTTCGCGAAGGAGATAACCTTCCTTTAGCCTTCGGCTCAGGGAGAAGGTCGTCATATCACGAAATGGGAGCGCCGGAGATACTGAGGTTTAGCTGGCATCAATAAACAAGACTTCGGGCCTTCAGGCGTACATTAAATTGTGGGGCAACGAGACTTTCAGTCTATATCGTCTGCATCTTTTCGGCAGATGGCAACATCGTGCTCTTGATTTATTTGTTATCGTGAGGATGACCTATGAGAACTATGATAATGGTGATGATATTGATGATGGTCATGATCGTAATGACAATGGTGGTGTTGAATGCGTCAATGGAACGATGTCATAGTTGGACAAAATCACAGCTGAACTTGATAAAAGTATTACCTAAAGCTGCCAAGATGTCCATTCATCATCGAAGGCAAGCTGACAGAAATGAATGTCGCCGTGTTTGTGTTGCGCACTATAAGGCATCTCTGACAGACATCTGGAACACGACGTTAGTACTTTGTAACGCTGGAATGGGAGAGGTCACGACTAGTCTTGTGATTCTTTGTGACTGTAATTTTCCGAACGGAGCACCGGCACGCGAGTGGGCTGGGGTTGTATTTTTTCAGCTGTTCGGCGCTCCCGACGCGTGCGAAGTGTTACCACGCTTGCGTTCCGTGCGGTGGAAATCAACTGTGAAGTATGTTTGTCAAGATCAAGTCCTCGGGGCACGGTGGTAATTCTAGTATCGCTCACAGCATGTACCACTCGTCCCGTGACACGCCAGACTCGCGCTACGCGACCACAGGACGTCCAAGTGGTGCCCGGCGCCCCCTCAGTCTGTTTTGAAGGGCAGAAAGCGCGATGTTTTTCACGGTTTAACTGCTATTGTCGTAAATATCTATCCTGTTCGTCGGCATTCTCCGGAAAATTCCAGTTCATCAGACTTCTCTGTCGTAAAGGGCGGCTCTAATAAAAGTACACTCGGCAAGAATCTTGTGTAACCAATTCATAAACTGACTCAGAGATAAATTTTCTTGTGTCACAGAAGTCAAAACTTTATTTTGCATTTAAAACGAAATTCAGTCATTTTGAGGTTTCATCAAAACCTACTCACCTACCAAGTTTCATGATTCTTGATTCTTGAGTCATCGTGCACAAATGCTATCCGAAATATAACCTTCTGGCAAGGTAAATAATTAGGGTTATCCTTGGGCAATTAAAACTTATTTTAATGAATTTCTCGGCATCTTCCCGGTTTCTGTCTGGAGGGATACCCTCTGCATCGCCTTGTATGCTGCAAATACTTACTTCATCTGGCCTCCGCATGCAACCGTAGTGGACATAAATACAGTGACCCGGCCCGTTTTCGTATTGCCCACCACATATCCAACTAGAGTTCCACGATCTCATACCTTCGCCAAATGATGTTAGCCCTTATGACTAAGAAATTATAGATTAATCCCCCTGATTGTGCAAATAGGATCAGTTAAATTGCATCAATTAAATCTGTTGATCATATTCTACACCAGAAGACAGTCTTATCTTAAATGCCATTATAGAATTTCCTCATAAATTATGCAAATGAGGTCCTTATTTGAATAAATTATGTTTAACTATGTTCACCTTCACATAGCTTTCAAATATCCCAAGTATGAAATTCCAGGCAGTTACCACTATGTAATTATAACATTTTCTCATTAATTATGCAAATTAAGTCCTCATTTGCATAATTGATATCTGCCTGTATTTCTGCCGTTCTTAATTACATATGACACAAGCTTGAATAGTCCTTTCATGGAATGCAGCTGATTTATAGATTTTCCTCGTTAATTATGCAAATTACATTAATATTTGCATAATTGTAATATTATTATGTCAAGCATCACTTCAGCTACCTACATGCCAAAAATCACGACGATCCATCAATCGGTTCTTGAGTTATCCGCCTTTAAACATTTTTCAACTAACGCCCCTGCAGCTCCAGAGCAAGCTGCTAGGGGGTCTAAACTCACGTCACTTCTTCCCCAGCACAAGAGCTACCTACCATCTAAATTTCGTCACCCTAGCATGTCTAGATCACGAGATATCAAAACCGGAAGTTCAGCTGCAGTACCATAACAAGCCGCTAGGAGGCCCAAAATCTAATCAGTTCCACATCTCATGAAGACCTATCCACCTACCAAATATCAAGACAATCCATCTTAGCCTTCTTGAGTTATCGTGCTGACACACACACACACACACACACACACACACACACACACAGACACACGAACGCCCCTGAAAACATAACCTTCTTGGCGAAGGTAACCAGTATGTCTTTTCTACTTGAATTCTTCGTTACCTACAAGTTCTACCATGTCATGCGATCACCTGCTTAGGTTATCATGTTGGCTGCTGAGACAAACAACAAGCAATTAGGAAGCTCTTAATTACAAACGATTCATTAGTAAGGAATGTCCTTGGCCTTCCAAAAATAGAACCGAATGCAGCCCTGAACCATGGCATGGCGTGGTGGACTACAGCCAAAACCCAGAGCGACCTGGTTATGCAACTTGTTTACGTTAGCTCTGGATCGAATGATAGGGCTTGGCACATTTGGATCACGGAGGTCTCCTGTCTAAAGGGGGAAATGTTATCGTAAGTCTGTGGGTTGTCCGTTGTCTGTTTGGATATATCCACAGAGCTATGTTAACCTGTTCAACAGATGGGCGCATCACCAGGGCCCAGGACGTTTCAGAACGGTTCTCTGTTATCGACTGGCTCTGAATGGATGACAGTGATGCGGTAGAGGGGTCGAGCGTTGTGATGCTGTATAAGGGTGGCTCAAAGCTACACCTAGCGACAATTGGCGGAAGTCCTAGATCTTCGGGATACGTACGCGTTGTTGCGTCCGTTCTTCGGATTTATGCGTCCAGGAGTAACAGGAGATACGGGAGATACAAACTGACTGAACACCCCCCCCCATCGTCAACAACGGGGGTCGGCTTTATATATGCTGCAATCTAAGTCCTACTTTATTTAATTTATTTTTAAGTGACATCACCTCTGTATTTAATAATGATGCCTGTAACCCTCCAATTATGCACAGTAAGCGAGTTCCTTGTCTACTCTATGCAGACGACTTAGTCATTCTTTCTGAGTCCAAGCAAGGATTACAGTCTTCATTAGATAGACTAGAAAGTTACTGTCATATCTGGAAACTAAATGTGAACCTTAGGAAAACAAAAATCATTGTTTTCACTAAGGGGGGTCGTCTTCCAAAAGAATTATTTTTCACCTATATGGATAATTTAGTAGAAATAGTTACATCTTATTGCTATTTAGGCATTGTTGTCAACTCCGCGGGCACTTTCAAGGCGAATAAGAAACATCTTCACAGTAAAGGACTAAAAGCTCTATTCGGCATGAACCAATCACTAAACAAAGCTGATGCACCTGTAGCTGTTAGGAACAAACTTTTTGACAGTTGTGTAAAGCCCGTAATTCTTTACGGGTCGGAGATCTGGGGCTCAGCTAAAAGTTCCAATTCCTGCCCTATAGAATCAATTCATCTAAAATTCTGTAAGCAAGCCCTTCACGTTCCAAGATCAGCATGCGGTCTCGCTGCAAGAGCGGAACTAGGGAGGTTTCCCATTCAAGTAGAAGCCTCTCTAAATGCTATCAAACACCTCATTAGACTTCGCCAGAAAGTGCCTGTCGACAGTTTCCAGTTCGATGCTCTATCTTGTCAGATAGCCTTAGACAAAACTGGAGCCAAATGTTGGGCCTCAGGAGTTCGGAAGTCCTTAGAGGAGTGTAGTTTTGGTTATATCTGGCATTGTACTTTATCACAAAACACAGATACGTCCCATCTTATTAATTCCATCAACCAACGTCTGAAAGACATCCATTTCCAAACTTTTCTAAAAGAAATACACAATGATAACAAAGGCGGAGCTGCCAGAAACAAATTGAGATCGTACAGACTGTTCAAGACAACGTATAATGGAGAAAAGTATCTAAATCTCGACAATATACGGCATAGGACCGCCACTACAAAACTCAGGATAAGCTGCCACAAATTACACATTGAAACCGGACGCCATAACCGCACTCCCCTGGAACAACGAATATGTAGGTATTGTAATCTAAATAGGATAGAGGATGAGGAACACTTTGTATTAGAATGTAGTTTATACAACGAAGAGAGAGCAGAGCTTTATAAACTATTGCAATGTATGTTTCCCCATTTCATACATCTTAGCAACGCAGATAAGTTCATATTTCTGATGATTTTAGACAAACCTTCGATTATAAAACATATCTGTACTTATATCTACATCATTACTAAGAATCGAGAAGAAACCAAATTATCGTAATTATTAGACTATATGTCCATAGTACATAGAATTAGCACTAGCTTGTACATTGTATATATTCATTGCAAACTGTGACGTCTTTCCTGTGACCTGTACTGAACCCAGTGGGTATTTGCGTACAATAAAGGTCTTCATTCTTCATTCATTACTACTTCTGACATATTACCTAGTAGTAGTACATGCCTGCGCTGAACGTTAATTATGCAATGTATATATGTACCTATACTGTTTCACCAGGAGTAACCCATAATGAAGAATACACGCTCTGGCACAAGGGAGAGACGGCTTCTGAGGGAGTCAAGTTGTTCGCCGAGAAGGCCGGCGCCTATCAGCTGTTCTCTGACATCGCTAACTCCAAGGGAACCAGTGGCAAGTTCTTTGCTGACGAGATCAAGAAATCGGGAGTTGGGGAGAGGAAAACAGACTTCGCTATTGATGCTGACCATTCAAAGGTAAGCTTTATGAAAAAGAGTTACTATTCAATATTCAAAACTTAGGCATGCGATAGACATTATATTCTGGGCTTAGTATGTCAGATAGACTGCATGCGAATACCGCACCATTCTCTAAACTCGATAAAACTTGAATGTACATCGTCTCCTTTCCGATAGGTGTCGTTTATGGTGAAGATTGTGCCCAGTCCAGACTGGTTTGTTGGCCTGGACAGCAAGGACCTTTGCCAGAACGGGAAGTGGATTGACCAGTTTTCCACCAGCCTGGGACCGTGGGACGCCGGCACGGACAAGGGATTCACATTCACCTCACCTAACTGGGCTACAGTGCCACAGGTGAGAATACTCCTACCGACAGGCGATGGTACTGCAACACACCTCGGTGCGCTCTCTTTGTTCATATCCACCCATTGTAAAGTTCATGTAAACTAATCACTATTTTTGTCACCAACTTATATAGAGAGACTTAAAAGTCCTTTTGAGGGTGTCAGTGTAAGGGTATATTGTACAGTGCTGACTATGGACATATCGCATGGATGGTCAACTATGATACCTTATTTCAGGTAACAAGAATAAAACATATACGATATTAGTGCCATGCGTATATTTCTTCCTTTGGATTATGGTACACATTCGAACCAACACTCTGTATTCCCAGGAGCCCGTATTCCAGATCAGCGCGCAGTTCCCCAACCACCCTGCCAACTCGTTCTACTACCCGAGCCTGCGGAAGCTGCCGGCTCTGGCCAGGGTCACCCTGACGCGGGACGGCGCTGACCTCTCCAAACTGGACGAGCTGGCTGAGCTTGTCGAGGAGGCAGAAGAGGGTGGGTGTTTGTTTCTGTTAACTCAATGTTCACAGAATATATATGCATTGGGATCTTTGGAGTGTGACTCCCGTGCATTTTTTTAATTGCAACATTTATTGACAAACGCCGGTGACGGCGCACTCAAGTATTAGATTTATATTCATGCCGCCACCGACACATATGAGACAATACATAATACATAGGACAAGCAAAGCACGAATTAACATAGTAATGAAATAATGAACATGTGACCAAATATTTCCAAAGACTGATAGGACTGACATGTTAAAATATTACAAAAACCGTTTGGAGTTGGACAAAAATGTTTGTACATTTTGATGTATGATTATTTGATGTTACCTGTTGCATTACAGTTGTTTCCTTGGACTGTGATGTGTCGAACTGGTCCGGGTTCAGCCGGTGTACCAGGCAGTGTGGGGGCGGCATCAAGGCGCGATCACGGTAAAGAACACTTCGGCATTAAACTCGATCGTCTATTTGCAAAGGTCGCAAAACAATGGGCATGACTATTAATACTGCCCAAGCATAACGTTGGTAGCACGTGAAAGCAATTTCCGTCTGTTTCCTACTCAGATTGCGCACTAGGTCTTTCCTGTTGCCTCGTAATACCATGGATTAAATGTGAAATCATCCATTGAAATGGAAACTACGTCGTATTTACGATGGCCATAATTTCTGCCTATATGTTCCAGGTACGTTACGCAGAAGCCCCTGAATGGCGGTAAAACATGTCCAGAGCTGGCTGAAATCGTACGTTGTAACGAGGACCCTTGTGATGCCCCGAAGACTGACAAAAACAACGACCTCTCCAAGCCGAAAGAGCCAGTCAAGACTGTGGAGGAAGTAAAGGAGAAACCTGAAGGTGCGTATTCGTGTTAATGTATAGATAGCGTATAGTGTTACGTAATCTAGTGTTCATCCGGATGTCAAGTGGTGTTAAGTCCACTTAATGTCTGAATTGAAAACACAAAGAAATGACCATGTTTCAACAATGTTGTTCTACAGTTGTTGCCTTGGACTGTGAAGTGTCGAAGTGGTCTGCCTTCAGCAAGTGCAGCAGTCGGTGTGGCGGCGGCAGCATGGTGCGATCACGGTAAGTTACAACATCATAAAACTAAGTTTGTAAAGCAGTATGTTGGTCCTATCAATGTATAATGTTAGTACTAATGTCCCTAACTTTGTTGCTCCTCACGAATACCACGTGACATAAAACAGTTCAAAATCCCATAGAACACGCTACCAATGCGTGGTACCAATGCCAACTGTTCTCCTATGCAGATATGATTTGTGTACGTATACGATAGGGCATATGAACGTCATTTCTGTTTTCATTTTCCAGTAATATCACACAAAAGCCGTCGAACGGCGGGAAGCCATGCCCCCAGCTGTCTGAGAAGAAACAGTGCAACCTGGAGCCCTGTCCTGTCACGAAGGAGATCCCCGACAACGATCTGTCCAAGCCAGAAACTCCAGCCAAAATTGTGGAGAAAGAACAAGATGAACCGGTACCAGAAGGTGTGTAACGTTACTTATAGTTGTACTAAGTAGCAGATGCAATTGAGGTGTTTTATTAATGTATTGACTTAAGATCCATTGTTTTTCTACAGTGTAGATAGTAAATTAAATGATATTTGAGTTATGAAGCTTGAAAATTGATACATGAAAGGAATGAGGAATGTTGTCTTTTTTCAGTTGTTGCCACGGACTGTAAGGTGTCAGACTGGTCTGGTTTCAGTAAGTGCAACAGGCGGTGTGGTGGAGGCGTCATGGACAGATCACGGTGGGTAACCATGTTATCTGTACTCTTCTGTTACAAAGCCAAGTTCTGAGAAGCGAGATGTATGATCAATTCCTAAAATATAAGAATGTTGACATCTGACATCACACAAAGCATAACTCGTAAAACCATCAGGAAATCTGACAAGTCATGTAAAGTCTTTTAAACACTAATGTAGCCGACAAAGAATTATATGCTACACGTACATTTGACGTTTTCAACGCGATGGCAAAAGAAGTTCATTTTCCTTTTTACATTCCAGAACCGTCACACAAAAGCCGTCAAACGGTGGGAAGCCATGCCCTCAGCTGCACGAGAGGAAAGAGTGCAACGTGGAACCCTGTCCTGTCACGGAGACTATCAATACAAACGATCTGTCTAAGCCAGAAACGTCAACAAAAACTGTGGAGAAAGAACAAGAGGAGACGACAACAGCTGCAAAAGGTGTGTAGTTGTATTAAATCAGTAATCCACGAAGATTGCAATTGTAATGTTTTATCTAAAATATTGTCATTGGGCCCAATGTTCATCTTGAACGTAGACAGTAATTGGCATTTGACATTTGTGTCCACAATGAACAAAGCAATGACTACGTATCAAAATTGATGCTGGAAATGAATGAGGAATGATGACTTTTTCAGTCGTTGCCTCGGACTGTAAGGTGTCGGACTGGTCTAGTTTCAGTAAGTGCAACAGGCGGTGTGGAGGAGGCGTCATGGTCAGATCACGGTGAGTAATGATTTATCTGTACACATGTGTCACGTACAAAGCCAAAGTCTCAAAGAGGCGAGATGTATCATCAAGTGTAAGAATGTTGTCATCTAACCCAAAGCATCGCTCGTAAAATCACCAGGAAATATGACAAGTCAAAAGTCATTCAAACACCAGTGTAACCGAAAAGAATTATATGCCCCACATTTGACGACTTTTCACAACTACGATAGCAAACGAAGATCATGTTCTCCTTTTTTTACATTCCAGAACCGTCACACAAAAGCCATCAAATGGTGGGAAGCCATGCCCCCAGTTGTACGAGAGAAAACAGTGCAATGTGGAACCCTGTCCCGTCACGAAGGCCGTCAGCGAAAACGATCTGTCTAAGCCAGTAACGCCAGCCAAACCTGTGGAGAAAGAACAAGATAAGCCAGAGGGTGTGTAGTCGTATTCTAAATCGCTAAATCAGGCAGATTTAAACTGAAGTGTTTTATCTATAGGATTGTTATTGGATCTAATGGGCATCTACAATGATATCTAATGTTTGTGTCTACAACATATGCACAAAGGAATGGTTATGCATAAATGAGGAATGTTGGTTTCTCTTCAGTTGTTGCCTCAGACTGTAAGGTGTCGGACTGGTCTCGTTTCGGCAGGTGCAACAGGCGGTGTGGCGGAGGCATCATGGTCAGAGCACGGTAGGTAGTGAGTTATCTGTACACATGTGTCACAAAGCCAGGTTCTTAAAGTCAGATGTAGTCAGATGTATGATGATTTTTTTGTATTTGATTTTAGCACCTGTCGGCCCAAAGCTTCCCTTCTAAAAGTCCATGTATTTGGAAATATGAAAATTTGACGATTGTTTGCAACTACGATGGCAAACGAACTTCATGTACCTTTTTTACATTCCAGAACCATCACACAAAAGCCGTTGAACGGCGGGAAGCCATGCCCTCATCTGTACGAGAGGAAACGGTGCAATGTGGAGCCCTGTCCTGTCAGGAAGGCCATCAATGTTGTCCCCCCTAAGCCACAACAGTCAGCTGAGGGTGTAGGAAAAACAGAGCAGGACCCAAAAGGTGCGGGTTTGTGAATTATAATTTCTATATCATTAATGAAAACAGTATGTGTATTGTCTTAACTGTATATATTTAGATTATGCATGGCAATCTAGCACTAGTGTGCCATTTACGAAAGGTAGAACGCTTAATTGGTAATAAGCTGTTCTTATGTCAGTTCAGTTATAAGGTTGTTTGCCTAACGTTAGGGAAAAGTTTCAGTGGATACTGGAAATGAGACAGACTGCCGTTATTTTACAGTTTTGCACTGTGAGGTGTCGAACTGGTCTGGCTTCAGCAGATGTAGCAGACGATGTGGCGGTGGACTCATGGTGCGATCAAGGTAATTAATAACTGTTCTTCAAACTCTCTTAGCCAAATACAAAGCTAAACCTTTCAGATAAATATTGACTAATACGCCATTGACAAACGTCTGCACGTGTATATGCAGCATTAACCTGTGCTGATGACATTGAATCTAACCTCCGCCTATGTATTCCAGGTACATCAGGCAGAAGCCGGTTAACGGTGGGACGCCCTGCCCCCGGCTGACGCAGATCAGACGGTGTAATCTGAACCCCTGTCCGGCCCAGCTCGCCATCAGCAGTGATGACAGGCTGCAGAGGCTGCTGGCCAGGTTCAGACTTTACGGCCGCCGTCAACAGGCTCAACAAGTGCAACAGTAGACTTCAGGATAGAGAAGATCATAATCTCCAAGCACATCTTTCATTGGCAAAGTCGTAACCAACTGGGCACTGCACTGTCTGGCCAATTTGACAGTGTTCAACCGATTGGTTAAGACTTTGCCACCGAAATATCTGCTTAATTGGACAACACGCAGACCACATTTGACACAGAGTGCCTCTGTCTTCACTACCCACAATGGTGTGATAAGAATATTTGATGTGATGACACTTTTGTAACACTTGAGAACCTCCTGCAGGAAAGTCACTTTAACACGTCAAGATTTAATACCTGTTTACTGATCCAGACATTCTAAGCACTATGATGTTGATGTACGTAGTAACGGTTCATGTATTTTAAAGTGTGCGTTATGATTGTAACCGGCACGATTGAAGGTTGAAGTGTTGTACATACCATACCTGTTTAAATGTATTTCATGTCCACAGCTTGGCCTTGATGTTGAAAGTTGAAAATTTGTGATTGAAACATATTTTCCTTATATTACCCATCCTCTTTTTTGTACGTTTGAACTCATGTACGTTACTTTATCACGTTGCTGACCAAACCATAAAAAGAGACAGTTCGTCACTTAAAAAAACCAAGGTACAAAAAGAGACAGTGGGGTGAAGTGATTGTGCTGCTCGAAGAATCTGGGTGTGTGTGTGTCATCATGTACATCATTATGCAACAAGTCACACTGGAGAACATTTATCATGACTATGCAAGTCACAAAATGTTTTAAGTGATTAGGTTTAAGTTAGTATCTTACAGATTTGTTCTGCATATACATCACTTGGCTTTGCCGGCCAAAGTTAATCGATGACAGATATCTGTAAGTCAGACGATTGTGATTTTTGTTTTTGTATGTTCTCTGTGTTCGTTTTCGTCTTTGTAAAGGTTAGTTATTCTAACACTTGTATTATATGTATGATACGATATGTTACAGTTTCTAACAACTATCATTGCTTCAATAGAAATATGAACGTTTTTAATACACAGGTATTGTTTTAATAGACTCTTGTCGACGACTCAGTGGTTTTAAAAAATCATACTGTACAGTGCAACCTCCTTAGGCTTTTACTAGTACTATTGCACTTTTTTGGTCATAAATGAAAACAGCAAACAAGAAATTATGTCCCTCTGCTGTTTGTCTTTCACATAGTTTGTTTTTCTCTTGAAAATGATTTCATAAAGACAAGTAAACGTAATGTTATGTGTAATATAAAAGATGAAAGTTGTATTTTAATTCTGATAATTATAAGTTATTCTGTCCCAATAAAGAAATATTCAAGGACACTGACACAAGAGGTTGTGATGTGACACAGATGGTTATATTTAGCCATGATGTCTTTTGTATAAAGTTTTTATCCTGAAATAAACATAATAGCGGATTTTATGGATTTTGTGTCAATTGATTTCTATTGTCCATTTCATTCTAAACTGGCCACTTACTGGTGTGTCGAGATATCAATGATCAAGTGATCTCTATATGGTCACGAAGGCTTCGCGTAGGCTTCATTATACTTAACACTAAACAGGGCACTAGTGTTGTGGATTTGGTCCAGGTTTACATCACACTTATCAGACCTGTACTTGAATATGGGCACGTACTACCGGTAGGGTGTAACAAAGAGCAGGAAAGACTGATTGAAAGAGTACAACGGAGAGCATGCGCACTCCGGATCATCTCACTGGGGGGAAGACGTGAGGTGCCTCCTCTGCTCACGCTGAAGGAAAGGCGACAGCTGGCGGCAGTGAAACTACTTAAGAACATGCTGGACGAGGGTCACCCCCTCCATAACCTGGTTCCACCGGCCAGGACAACGGCCGGAGGACCTTAAGAAATGGAACAGCACTTACAGTACGAGCTGCCCGTACGAAGAGACTGAAAAACTATTTCTTACACAAAGCAATATTCCTGTACAACGAGTCTTCGCAGTAAGACTCTTAGGACTCTCTGGTCTTTACTTTATTGCCCATGCGAGGCTTTTTGTAATGTTTTTGTTCCTGTGTTTGTATATGTATTGCAATGTTAATTTGTATTTGCCAGGCAAGTAACTGTAAAAAATCAGTGTTATTAAGTATGTTTTTGTACAGGCTGCGAGTCTGTTTTTTTATGAATAAACTGTTCAACTGTAATTATATGAACAAGAACTCGGTGGTACTGAGCTTGAGTGTAAAAGACCCAACATCAACTACATCACTTTCCTGCCAAAGCACAAGCACAATGATGAGATCTTAAATGACCAGAGCCGGACAAAATAATTATTATTGCATAGCCTGCTTTTATTACTTCACAGTACTTATCCATTGCACATAAGCAAACTTTCATTGAGTAACTGACGAATCGTTAGTCGTTTTTCACAACCAGCAACATCTGCCTGTGCTGATGATGTGATTGTCGGCTTTGTGAAGACCTAGTATCTAACAGAAGTTGTTCAGACGAGGGTCGCTCTCCAGGAAGACATGCAGGGTGGTCAGGCCCTTCTCCTCGGTATGGCGCTGGAGGCACTTGGGCACCGGAGTCATGAACAGCTGAAATATGCGGAAATCATTGTCAGGACGCTATATCTCACTAGGAAGTGAAGAAACAAGATGACATATATGTTGAATAAACACCTCTTGTTTATTATCAATGTGGTTAAGAAAGGAACAAATGGGTGCAAAAGTATACTTTCATGCAATTGGGTAAAAAATGCATAAAACATTACACAACTCACAAGTAAATAGCAAATGTCAGTTGCTTGCGAGAGCTTGTGATGAAGGGTGAGTGAGTGAGTGAGTGAGTGAGTGAGTGAGTGAGTGAGTGAGTGAGTGAGTGAGTGAGTGAGTGAGTGAGTGAGTGAGTGAGTGAGTGAGTGTACATGAAATATCACCTGGTAGAACGTCTTGGAGGCGATGGGTGACTCATAACGAGAGGTGGGGCTGGGGACACTCGCGCCGACGATCAGCCCGAAGGCGTTCAGCTTCCCATCGTTGTACAGCGGGAACAGCGGGTACAGCTCCTCACAGCGCATGTTCTCCCGCAGGTTCTTAAAGTAATGCTTGCCTAAGAGTAGGAAGACAGTATTCATTAATTTCATCATAAAACGGCTGGGTAGCCCATTCAGCTTAAAGCTTGTACATGTAGAAGCTGCTTTCCAATGAAGCCCAGCATATATTTACACAGGACAAGACATGCTACATTAGTCAAGCAGTAGATATTGGAAACATCTTAATCCTGTTCATCTTTGCATAAGTAGATGAATTTTTGTCAGACTGAGACCTGTCCGTTGCCATAGTGTTGGAAGCTATGATGACTGGCTTCCATGGTAACAGGAAATCCTGGGGTCCTACACTATTGGACTGAGTTTTATAGTGATAAAGAATCCCGAGCTCCTATTGGTAGTTCTGGGAATGGGGATGGTTCTGTAGACTCATAGTTGTATAGCACAAGCTCTATATGAGGAGATCCAATCAGCCCCTGACTGGCTACGAGAGTGTGTAACACAGGCTATACATTACCCATGGTCCAGAAGCACTTCCCTGGGGTCCAGTCCGTGCCCTGTATGTCCTTCTCGTACTTGGGGATGATGACGAAGTCCGTGCGTGGGCTGGCCCCGATCTGCAGGTACAGGTCTGTCCCTGTTCCCTTCGCCTCGAACTCGGTCGCGGTGCGCCCAACAGTACAGATGGTATCTGCCATGATTCAAACACACGGCGGCAAAATTAACATCATTCTCAACTACAAGGTAGAGTAATAGTTATACAACAGAAACGTTTTATTTTAACCCAAACATACCTAAAGCTTTATATTTAACTGAACTCTTCATACGAACCCTTCAATGAACAATTTGCAGTTAGATATATCGTTACTGTGCATTCTTTTCTAAAAAGAAAACATACAACCCATCATAACATGGATCCCTGCTGTCAATCACAATTAGCAGTTCAACCAATGAGAGGGTAGCAATTAGCGATTCGACCAATGAGAGAGAACCTGCATGTTCGTCAAATATCTGCATCTTTTATAGTTGACGGAGTTGGGCGGAGCTATGGGGATCGGTCTATTGGATGTTGGAACAATGGATACCTATTCTCCCCAAATGATTTTATCCCCTCGCACCTGGTCTGACGAAGTATGTGGTGATGAGCCACATGTCGTTATTCCTGTCCTGCACCCATGGCGGGATGACGTCACGGGGTGGGACGGACCTGTCCGCGGGAAGGTCGCTCTGTTTCACCTGAGGGACATGTCAACAATGAGGGATTTATTTGTGGGAGGAGCCATGCATACGTATACTATCATCTTTAGATCTGAAGGATTATAGAGGAAGGAAGATGCAGGGCAAAGGGTTCAGTTGAGCAGTGTTGAATGGTGAGTAGAGAGACTCTTTTTACAAAAAGGTGAGAGACGGTCACCAAAACGTCGGCTGGACAAAAGACTTGCGTTTGGTTGTGTAAAAACAGTCTCTTTACTGCAGTGTCTTACCAACCTGATGAAACTATTCACGGAGTGTTGAGTGGTACTTGCACTAATCTTCCGCCATCTTGAACTTGGCATCAATACATAATGCGGTATTTTACAATTCCGTATAAAACACATGGATAACTAATTAGCTAGGTTGCACCTCGTATATAGGATTCTACGAAAAGTAAGCTTCGACAGACTTTGCAAAAAATAAACGATGATTTCACTGAATAATTACCAAACAATTCCAACAAGTAAATTTCTCTAAGGGGTTATTCTCTTTTCATAAACTCACTCCCATCTGCATGCCGGCGATGAAGCCGTTCCTGTCGAACAGCAGAATCACGGCGGGATCGTCCTGATAGATCATCCGCAGACCCTGCCAGTAGGTTCCTATAAACACAGTACGAGGAATAAGCGTACGTACAACAACCTGCTGGCATAGTTGTTGAAGAAAATAATAATGTGTTCTTCGATCGACCGCATAAATGAACTTTATGGATTTGCATAAAACCTATTTCCCTTCTTCATGCACTTTAGAATAATTCATATTCCTATTGCAACTAAACAAACCTTCCATCGAAAATCTGTTATCTCTGCTATAACTTGCTGAAAAGCGAGAAGTTGAATTTATCTAATGATATTTAGTATCTGTTCATCGTGTTTTGCTGTTGTGACCTGTACTTAGCCCAGTGTGACAGAAATGTACAGTAAAGGTCGTCATTCGAAATCAGTCATACATACAGCCTTTACCTGCACATGTGGCCCGTCCGTACATGGTCCAGCCTTGTTTGGTAGCCTCGCTGCGCGTGCGCGGAAGGGACTGGAACGAGGTCAACGGGTTGATCCCCCATCCAACTGTAAAAACGGTCAAATGTAAAATTATTTTCCTTTACTATGATATTTATCTAGAATTTCATGTGCGAAGCCTCATCGCACGTGAACACATAGATACTATAATGTGTCCAGTCTACCGTGGTTGGGGCGGGTTCTCTTCGGGGTTGAAAGAGCTCTTCGCCGACCGACTCAACTAGGCTCCGCGGTAGATTTTACACGGCGGAAGTTCAAACTCCTGCCGCACAAAACTCCTAAAAGCGCAACACTTCCACCGGGCGGCCATTTGAGCTTATATTGTCAGTTGTCAGGTTTAGACGGCTGGAATTCTATCAAAGAACCGACTATGACGTCTATGTCGCTGTCACTGGTTCTAGCCGCAAAGGATCAAGGGACTTTAAGCTCACATCGTCCGTGGTCTGGATAACGCCCCTAAAACGTCGATTTTCGTGATGTCAAGGACAATAGTGGATTCAATCTTATCTCGACTACTAAAAGTAAATCACCTCATGATGACCCTGATCAAGTTTCAGAGACGTTAGTCGCATTGTTGTTTGACTAACGCGGGGCAATGCACGGTCTAACCTACATTTTGAGACGGTTTGCAAATAGTGTCATGACATCTACATTTGCACACGTACGTACAATTGATCACGTATCTTGATTGGACAAAAACCATCTCCTTACAAAGCTGCTCGATCTAATGCTACCAATGGCAAGGCCTCTTACACTTGCTCTATCGCACTTGATTTAACTGACGATTCATTCGTTTATGACTTTTGTTAAGATTAAGGTAATCAAATTAAAGTAACAGCTTAAGTTGCTGAGTGGGCAAAACCGTGGAAGGAATGCGTTAGACACTTCTCAGGTAGAAGAAGAAAAACTTTATTGATGAGATAGGCTAGAAAATGGTGTTGGTCGAATTTCTTAGTCTGTTCCCTTGTATCACCTGACACCACGGGAGCCTTTACTGGATCTGCCTACCTGCGGACATTTGGACTGTCCGGACCAGAACAGTGCCGTCGTCCTCCAGTAGCCCAAACATGTTTGTACAAGCAAGTCTCAGACAATGGGTATCAGGATAGGGGACCTCGGACTTTGTCTGGATCATGTGGATGAAAGGTCACTGTGACTCGGTCTCTGACCCATAAAACACCCCTCCGTTAAAGGGTTCCTTTATGGCCTATTATATGTATGTACGTACGCGCGTGTTTGGCGACGCTTTAGGGGACAGCTTCTCTTCATACTAGCAAGTGACAAGCTGGGGAGTGATTATCGCCAGCAGTAAGTATTCTATTAATCGTATTTCTCCTCCATCTAAAATTTCACTACTATTTCTCATCCAACATCTCACCACCGTTGGTATCTTTGAAATGACCTACGAGTTTTTTTCCAGAGAAGATGTTTTGGGTATGTTGACATTGCTGTCTGCTCACGTAGCGATGGCTAGATCGCACGAGATAAAATCAAGTGTATGTCTAATGCCAACAGCCAATCATTATGCAAATGACAAACCAAGGCAAACCAAATGTATAGACCGACAGGAAAGCCAGATTTTACAAGTACTTGTAAGTATAGAACATGATACAAACATGCTATACGGTTTAGAATAGGATGTTGGTCCACCATGAGGTGATTGACATTTATTACAAAAGTTAGGAACGCCATACATATATGCTGATTCGTAATCCAGTGAAACTCTCACCTTTCAGGTCGTTCCAGTGTGGTACAGCGACTGAAAAAGATAGAAAAAGTATTTTCTTTTGTTTGTAATAATCATTTTCAACATCTACATTTATTACATTTTAAAATTTATCTTTTCAATATAAGGTTTTGTGGGACATTTGTGTGGCAGACTATTGCATGATCTTTGGTAAATCTCTGCTAGAATTCCAGAGGGTCTTTACATCATTTTACACTGCATTTCCACTAGAGGCTGCGAGGGCAGATCGACCACTGAGCGACCAAAGAAATCCTTTTACATTTTTTGTCTGTCTTCTAGTCTCACGCAATGGACGCTCAGCAATTGCCGTCTGGTAGAGGGGGGGCTTGATCGTGCACACATACTAGTAGTACGGACAGCAAACACATTACAAATCTGTTAATACAGCATTGAAGTACGTACTAGTACAGGCTAACTTAAGAATCAAATGAGAAAAGTCCGATAGAGGTTCCCTATGGCAATCTGTGAACTTAAAGGAGAGAGAAGATCTAGACAAGAGAAAGGTAAAACCGGGCAGTTCCAGTCTGAAAACCACAAGTTACAATATACATGTAATCAGCCAATTCATTCCGGTGCATATCCCAAGAAGCCCACCTGATAACATACTTATATATGTCATGATTTTAGATATTTTAAAGAATGTTCCTTTCCAGTCAAACAGCCTGATTAGAAGGTTTACAGATAGAGCAGGGACAGAATTAAAGGGTATTTTGATGATATGAATAACACCTCCAAGTACAGATACACAAGATACATATTACCTTGTTACTAATGAAGTTCTGACTAACCTGAGTCGGAGAAAGGCCACCACCACCACAGCGACCATGAGGACTGCTCGGCCGCCGCGGCCGCACCGAGAACCGCCAAGAGAAGGAGAAGCTTCATGTCGGAACGTCTGCTGAGTCGAGTGTTGAGCCGCACGCCGTGCCAGAGTGAGAACTAGTATTGCCGGGATTCTAACTTTATGGCCTTGGTTCTAGTGACGGTTAAACAATGTTAAGTTACGTCATTGGTGAGAACGATTCCCCATTGGTCCGCGACAACCACTGAGGATTTTTCTTTGATATCATGCCACAATTCCAGCCTTGATTGGACAAAGCCATAGCTACTGCGTCTCACGCTACCAACGGCAAAGCCTCTTACACTCGCTCTGCCCCACTTCGAACTAAACTGGCGGTTCATTCGCCTACGACTTCAAGGTCACGTTATGGCGACCAAAAATCACTTCTTGCTAGTGACCGCTGAGTGGGCAAAATCGCGGAAGAAAAAAATGTACAACGCATGAGACACAAGTTCTCAAAGGAGTTGAAATGGGAAATTGGTGTCGGTCGGATTTCTATGTTGATTTTTGTGTGTTCCCTTTCAGTATCCCAAGCCACAGAGAGCCCTTTACTGGGTTCACTTAACTTGCGGTTACGTGTACGTGGACTTTCTCCCAGAAAGATCCATAACGGTGCCACTGCCCTACAGTAGCCCGTACATGTTTGTACAAGCAAATGAAAATGATGAGTTAGGCTTTTCCAGCAGCCGCCCTGTACATTTACCTCTAGTAACTTTTGACCACCCAGTATACACAGGTCGTTGTCACGGCAAAATGCAAATAAATACTTCGCTTTTTAAAACCCTGTCCTATTGATACCATGTTGATGTTAGGTTGCATAAACATAGTACTATCTTGGGAATTTGTGGCCGGTCATCTTGTACTCAATTAGTAGCGGGCGATGTACAATGTGCATAGCAAGCAAATCTTAAGTGGGTACATACAATGTATAATGCTCTGTCATCAAATACGCGTCCACTATGGATGCTATCGGTCTCTTACACAATCCATGTGCTATGTTCGTATTGTATCCAACCCTGTATCCAACCAAAATGAACTATTCTAGTGAGCTGCCTTTTGCACACTACACGCGCTGTTGACCTTCCATTTACCCGCAAGGATACAAATGCTCAGGTCAAGAGACTATGGACTCTTGGTGGGTTATATTTAGACCAGAATCTGTGTCCTCCTCCTATTTTTGCTACCTATTGAAGTAAATAGCCATGGAGATCGCAAACATTGAATACTAATAAACAATATTTAATAATTCACTTATTTATCTATTCTAACGTGTTCTTGAAATTTCTCGGATCACGCGAGAATGTTTCCCTACTTCTCTGGTGTGGACGTGTTTTTCAGAGGCAAGAGCGCATGCTCAAGGAGGATCGTCCTATATATGACCGTATTTGTACTTTGAACGGATAGACATTACTTCCCGAGTAATAACCCAACATACAAGCGCCTGCAACACTCCAAAATGCAATGTGTAGGTGAAAAGGGGCTAGGCATTGCAATATGGGCTGCGCTGACTATCATTACAGAGCCGAAAATGATCTGGTCTTTATTACATACAGCAATACACGCGTACGGCGCTCCTGTATGTAGCCGTTCATTTCGATGTGGAGTATGACTTATCTGCTCAGGTGTAGCCTTAAATGTCCTTAATTCACAGCAGGGCGACGTGTAAAGTTTTAAGCCTGCCCAACCTCAGCAGTGCAATAGCTCAATTGGTAGAGTGCTCGCTTTGTAACCGGGAGGTCGTGAGTTCAAACACAGTTCAAACCCCGGCCGGGTCAAACCAAAGACTTTAAAAATGGTACACACTTCTTTCTCTGCTTAGCACTCAGTACATTTGAGAAAGAGTGTGGGAAGGTCAAACACACAGCACTGCCAGCGGACTAGCCCCCTGCTGTAGTGCATTGCACAACTGTGTGTCGCCCAAGGGCTACAGAAATGGATATGAACACCACCCTACGCTCTGCATAAGGGCACGGGAGACCTTTCCTTTTCCTCAGCAAACAGGCGTTACCTAAGAATTATTATCCTATATGATCTTCCCCACCCCACCCCCACTTGTAGCCCTCCTGTGATCTTCCCCACCTTCACCCCCACTTGTAGCCCTCCTGTGATCTTCCCCACCCCACTCGTAGCCCTCCTGTGATCTTCCCCACCCCCACTCGTAGCCCTCCTGTGATCTTCCCCACCCACCACTCGTAGCCCTCCTGCATATGGCCGTATTTGTTTAATAATTGATTACCTTCGCCAACAGTGTTATGTTTTTCGTAGCGTTTGTATGTATGTGTGTTGCTTAGCACGATAACTCAAGAAGCTTAAGATGGATTGTCAGTAAACTTGGTAGGTGGGTATGTCTTGATGAGACCTAACATGATTAGATTTTGGGCCCCCCGATGGCTTTCTTGTTACTTCAGCAAAACTTCCGGTTTTGATATCTCGTGATCTGGACATGCTAGAGTCAAGACTATTGGATAGCAGATAGCTCTTGGGCTACGGAAGAAGAGACATTAGTTTGGGTGCCCTAGCGGCTTATTCTGGAACTGTTTTGTTGCCTCCCGGCCATAGTGAATATACGAAAGTTTTATTGCAAGTTCTTGTCCGGAGGCTAATTGCAGGTAGAGCGTGTTACGTTGTTGCTGGTAATACACGTAGATTGTCGCCAGGTGGTTCTCCTAAGCTACACGACTAACAAAGCTGGACGTTTACCGATCACACCCTTTCACGGTTAGTAGACCTCAGATTGTCGCCAGATATCAGTTCTACACTACATGTACATTTTGTGATTACCAAACCGGGGATTCCTACAATATGAGTAACGTTACATATCATAAGTAGTCTGCTGTATTCAGCACTGTCCAACTACAAGACAATGAAGGCTACAAGGTATGGACTTTGGCAGTTGTGTTTTAATTAGTTTCTTTCCAAGTTTGGAGCGCAAAGACAGCGTGCCTGCGAAGATGGTGTGTTACCCCGAAGGGCGGTTATACCGGCTTTACAGGTGAAAATGTGGAAGAGTAAATGTTGGCATAATATTGCGAAGCGAAGACAGTCCATGAACACAATTGTGTGAGCATCCAGGAAATTCATGTCGCAGCATACGCAAATCGAAGAGCCAGACTGTCATCATAGGCTGGAGTGGCTAAAAGCTACCGCAAGGTGGCGCAGGAAACCTGTTAGCTTTACAAAGGAGCTTATTGACTTTACTCAATCCATACACGATTCATCACATTTATCTTGTCAGCAATAAATTAATTCCGTTTGTGTCTTTGTATTACTTTTTTTTCATCGTGTGTTATTGTATTGTCACGAAACTAGCGTACATGAAACCATGCCAAGAGATACATGTATTTCAACACTGGATTTCTGTTGGTTTAGCTAGGTCCATGGGTCTAGCAGTGGTTGTTGAGGGGCGGATATCCGTTGGTCAGGTACACGTGCATGGTGGACAGGTTCTCAGAATGGTCAGCCAGACAGGTCGGCACAGGTTTCATGAACATCTGAGAAGGAAAGGAACAATATTCTTTCCTTGAATTTCGCATAAACAGATCGCATGTACAATGATGAAGTAAGATGATTTGTTGATCATGAGGACATAGTTTGTCCTGTTTCATAATGGTATATCATATATAGACTAGCTCTGTTAGAATTCTATTCTAGTATAGTTCATTTATTTACCCCTGTTGTTTCTTCTTTGCCATACATTGTACCAGCTACAGTTGTTGAGCAATAAAGTTCATTGATTGATTGTCATTGCCATTAGCAAACGTTAAGACATATACATATTGATGTTATGAGAAGAAGGCGTGACTCACGAAGTCATGATGATCATGAGTCAAGTACAAATTGGAATAGTTTGTAATGTATTTAAAACATATCCTTTTCCATTCTAATGAAGGCTCTCAAATCTTTTTATTGGCTTTTTAACTTGGCAATTTGGAAACAATGATTCTTATTCTGTGTGTGCTATATACGAGATCTATTCTCACCCCGAAGCCGCCTGATGGGTGTTCGTAGCGCGGACTGGACAGGTAGGTCCCGATGTTCCACCCGAACGAGTCCAGCTTCCCGCCATTGTACATGATAAAGACTGGGTAGAACTCTTCACAGGGCATGTCCACACGCAGGTTCCACCAGTAGTGTTTACCTATTGTAAAAGACTTAAACAGTCAGCACTCTTATGCCTACGTCACAATTGGAAAGAGGCTCTGCCAGGTAGTTTACGGGCTGTTTGTTTGTTTGCACTTTTTGCGCCCTTCAAGGAATCCGGAATTTTTAAACTGCCAGATGAAATCAACAAGTGTCTCGGCGACCACCACAAGACAGTACAAAGGAATTTTTTAAAATTACACCAGCCGGTGTCCTCCCTACATCAGAATACCTGGCAAGGGCTCATGACACTATTATGGGCGTCGGTCCTAAGCATTACTTGAAGCTGAAGCTGGGATAAGCACTGCCTCAAGGGCGACGACGTTTTAGATGTTTGCAAAGCTCTAATTGGGCTTACGAAATGGCTATGTCTCAACAGCGTGAGCTGGCAGGTCGTTTCGCTCACACAGTTACAGTACAGAGTGATTGCAAAAGCTATGGCCACTGTCGCTTATCAATGTAGCCATGCGTGTGGCAAACTCACCCATGCCCCAGAAGCACCTGCCCTCGGTCCATTCCGTGCCCTCCAGGTCCTCCTGTTCCTTCGGGATGGCCATGATGTCTACGGTCGGGTTCGGGCCGGTCTGGATGTACAGATCAGTCCCCGTGCCTTCCTCCTCGTACTCAGTCTCGGTACGACCATCCCTGCAAATGTCACCTAGGGGATACCAAAAAAACGATCCCAAGTGTCCATCCAATTAGCAGTTCAACCAATGATAGCAAAGTAATCAGCGGTTAGACCAATGAGAGAGTTCTACGTGTCAATAGATATTTACATTCTTATGGTCATGCTTTGCATTTCTACGTTTTGAGACAGGTGCGGGGGCTAAAGTAATAGACCACTGTTCTGTGTCATTTTCTCATAATGATGATTATAAGGGATGCTCTGTGACTTGTATTTTGCATGTAAGCTTATCTTTTGATAGGCTCACTCATGTAAAACATGATATCACGTTGGCTTGGCAACTAATAAAGAGAGAAAGTTAAAGACTTACAAAGTAGTCCAATCGCAATGATACTCACTCGGCTGGATGAAATAGGCGGTGAGCAGCACCATGTTGTTGTTCCTGTCCTCTATCCATGGCGGAGTGACCTGGCGGGGTGGGACACTGCCATCAGGGGGCAGTTCACTCTTCTTCACCTGTACAACGTAAAATGTTCCCATGCCGTTTTAGCTAAATACGATGTTTGGTCATATGAACTAAGAGGGTAATACAGAAATAAAGGTTCCATTTGCCCATGTTTAAACTTTTGATCATGTTTCTTTTCTGAGTGGTAGGTTGGAATGAACAATGATGAAATGGCAACTGGCGGTACCCGGATGTTCAATGGATCCCGGTCAGCGGATCCAACGTTTATGTCATGACTTTCAGAGGTAAGAGGTGGAATAACGCTTAGACTCACCCCCATCTGTAACCCGGCGATGTAGCCGTTCTTGTCGAACAGCAGGGTGACGGCAGGGTCGTTGTCCTTGACGTAGCGGAAACCCAGCCAGGTACCAGCTGTCAAGAATCATCGCAAATGTAACGTTATTAGCATTTTCAACCAGAAAACAGGGCCACAGAAAAGGCAACCATTTTAATCACATCATTCACGTTTTACTGTTTTGTTTTATCAGGCCTGGTTGTTTGGGTAACTCATGCCAGACTTACCAGATACCATTTCTTTTATATATTTGTTTATTTGCAAACGTACATGCCTGAAAGCTAATTGCAAGGAAAAGTTAAGGGTAAAGAAAATAATGATTGATTTAGGTAAGCAATCCCGGCTTAATTTATCTTAATGCTTGCCTAGGAAATCAAAGCCAGACGTACTAACTGACATAGTTAGTAAATCCTACTTTTGGGCATGCAAATATTATTTCTCTGACCTCTACAACTCTTCGATCCGAACTGCGTCCATCCTTGGTCTTTGGCCTCCTCCATCGTGCGAGGCAGACGGTCAAAGTTGTTTCCGAAAGGGTTGAGTCCGAAAGTCACTGAATATGTCAAAATAAACGACAAACATGTTCATTTTTTTGCTCAGTCGATCGTCTTTGTTGAACAGCAAATAGCTATCTTTCAAGAAATCTATCTAAAATAAAAGGCATGTTTTACATGTGCCATGCCAGTTGTTCGCCTTCCATTTGTTTTGTCGCCCGAGTTTTATCGAAGCTTCAATAATATGAATAACGCGGACTTTGGTGCTGAATCACACTGTGCAAATATTTGTGGGAGCAGAGTTTCTCACGTATGATGTACAGCCGAGTGGAAACAGTGGCGTTATAATAGCTAGGCCTACCAAGTAACTACGTTGGCCGTAGCTTCCCATTGCTTCTGTATGCAGTTGATGTACAGTTTCATCTATATTGTAACTTTTGCTAAATTGCAATGGGAGGCGTAATTCGGGCAACGTCTGATCCATGAGTCCCTTTTCTGAATAGACTATTGACACTATTTACAGTCTACACCACAGGTATGGTAATGAATATGTAACCGAGGTGGTACTAGTATTCACCAGGTTCTTTTGGATGCTGCAAGGGAGACTAACTACAGGGCTAGCAAGAACACACGCAGGACACAGGCATTGCCGTCACGCACGCACGGGAGACGATGGGCTGGGACAGTCTTCTCTGTAACCCTCTCTCGAGCTGTCTCTGTCTCAGACTGTCTCCTAGACTGTTCTCCCAACCCACAGAACTCCCAGCTTTTATTTTCAAATCCCAGACAAACCACAGATTGCATTGCAGACAGTCGTCTAGCAAGGGAACAACACAACATTTCGCACCTGTAGGACATGTCCTTGATGTTCCTATCATCAAAGCCTCGAATTAGCATAACCAGATTATCATACTGGCCACAAAAGCATTATACATAAAAATTGTCATTTTCAACCCTTTACAAATATACCGTCGTTATTATGGCCACCAACAGAGAAAGAAAGGTGGATTTACCTCTCAAGCCGTCCCATGCTGGGGCTGCAGGCAAGGAAAGACACGAAGACATCAAGTCAACAACACTTTCATCCTGACTATTTTCTTTAGTCCGTGGAAAAATTGACGTAATACAAACATTTCGTCGCAAAGATAAGGTGTGTGTTTAGAATATGATATTAGTTTGTCACCGTATATATGGTATTTAAAATTGCTGAAACCATAACAAGCGAGACAAGCGTGAAATATTAGAATACTACTAGTAGATAATTCTCACTATAACGTTGAAAGAGACAAAAGTGCGTAAGTCATTTCACTTTGAGCAGGGGTGCTGAACCAGGACGACCACCAGTACTGGGCGTCCACAGCAGCGGCACCGAGAAGGAGGAGAACCGCCAACAACTTCATCTTCCACACGTATCGTACTGCTGAAAACTGGCTGTGGAGCACTTATCTTCTAGTTCAGAAGTGAGGTCACTGCGCCACGGGTACGGCTTTTGAACACCAATTCTTGCTGATAAAGCAATTTTCAGGGAGTCCACTTTTGTGTCTGTATATTAAGGTACTGCACCACGTCGTGCTTCTTGCTAGGTCTATCCAAGAACCAAAGTGTCCACCCCGTGAGTCTGGTTCTAGCCAATGGTTGGACAGATTGCTGGGGACAATCACCAGTCCGTCTGACAGCTGTTGCTATGGAGACCAGAGTACATGTACTTCATTGTTGCTTACGTGTCTCGAATGGCTGATCAGGAAAAAACAATAGCAGAAAAATCACACGTATGCGTTTTTTTTTCGTAACATAAAACCTGCCACGTAAACAGATCTTTCTGTACGTACATAGTGGTGGTGATAGAATACCAGTAAGAAGAACAAGGAACTGGGATTGTGAATTCTATCTGATATTGAAGAACTTGTCTTCCACTACTTAGTATCTTATCATTTTTGCTTTTGCAAAATATCACCTGATTTTTTTTTTGTTTTTGTAAAACGGTTCAGGTCCAAAGGACATTGACCGTACCGAGAGTGTTTTATGTGGAGTCACCTGATCTTGTTTTTGCAAAACGGTTCAGATCCAGAGGACATTGACCGGGTAGATTTTAGACCCTGTACTCTGTACCTGGACCTTACCACTTCAGCTACGGCGATGACGTATGACCTCATACGTGCCCGCACGTACGTACCAGGACACAAAAGGCTGTTAAGAAATATATCTAGGGTTAACATCATATACAGCAGGTGTATAAAACTCTAAGTACATGTAGACTCATACTCGCATTGGGTCAAAGCCTCCTTTTCAGGCTCTGATGTGTATTTTTAATGGCATTCTGCTTCTACCCGTAACATTATGTGTTCTAGGGTCCTTGTGTCGATCTATCCCTAAGTTTGCACAGGGACCACAGTTCAAATGGGAGTGATGTGTAATGAGAAAAAACAAGCGCAACATAAAAGCGCCCTGAAAGCCTCAGTCTTACTAAGGAGCCTAAACTAGTAGAAGGACCGTCAATTTATGTATCAAAGTAATCATAAGGATCAGGAGTAGGCAAACAAGAAGAACCACGCATACTTTCCATTTTATTTTTGTACCTTTGTATCCGGCTAGAGCAAGTCATGCCCAAATATAATTTGCAATTAACACATTTTGATGTGGAGTCGACGATGACACGCTTGTCAGAGGAGGACTAACACACACAAACTAGTCACAGAGACTGCTAATATTGGGGACTTCCTGGTTCAATCCAAGTCAGCTCGGATATAGCCCAAGAAAGCTGCAGCTGGTACCGAGGCTACTGTGGCGTGTCTAGCAGAAGTTGAGTTGTGGCGTGTTGTCCAAGTAGATGTGCTGTGTGGTCAGCCCGCGGTTTGCCAGGTCAGGTAGACACGCCGGCTCCACGTCAAAGAACAACTTTGGGAGAAAAGAAGACACAATGCAGATAGGATTGATTTAGTAGGAGGAAAATTCAAGATCACACACACGCGCGCATGGTCAAAGAAACGAACGTGCGCAGCAAACAAAACAGAGGAATACTAAAATCTTTTAAATTAAAAATAATATCCTTTAAATTTTGTTAAAAGCATCCACCACAAAATTATATATGTTAAAACATCCACCACATTTTATCTCGCTTTATCAAATTATTTTATTTTGTCGGGATTTATTTACTCACTCCGAGCGCCGCGGCAGGAGGGCGTTCATAGCGGGGACTGTCCAGGCTGGCATTCATGTCCCAGCCGAAGCCGTTCAGATCGCCGGAGTTGTACATGAGGAAGACCGGGAAGAACCGATCACAGTCCATGTCCCTGCTCACGTTGTACCAATAGTGGCGTCCTGTAAGAGATGAGGAAGCCTTAAAAGTAACATATCGAAAAGTGTCTACTATATGCTGTGCAAAGATAGTGCTGGATTTGTGCAGAAAAACTTTAATCTAAACAAGACATCAAACCTCTGTGAAGTACTTGTTGTTTTAATAAAGCAAGAATTAAAAAGTTCTTGCTTTTTTCGGTATCATTTCGCTGATTCTGTATATACATATTTCAGCGTCGTGCACATGCAATCCTCGAGTTCCTGAGTACCATTTACTTCTTCCTAGCCTTTTGGACCACCAATTCGACCTTCCTGTCAGCCTGCGGTTACACCATTTCCCTCTCACTTCCTGTGCCTCTACTATATTCAAATAACTACGGACACACAAGCAAACAACAAAACAAACAGACAAGGAAAACCTGCGTATACGGAGTTAAAGAGCTCATAAAACAAAAGCCGTACCCATAGTGTAGAAGCAGCCGCCCTTGGTCCATGCCGTGCCCGCGAGGCCGGACTCCGACTTTGGAATCTTGATGAGACTGGCTGGTGTGGTGCCGTTCTGGATGTACAGGTCTGTACCGGTCCCGTACTGGTCGAACTCTTCCTCCGTACGACCAGTGGTGCAGATGGTCGCTGCACAGAACAGGTGGGATAGATATATCCTTTCAATTAGCAGCTCAACCAATCATAGCACGCTATTTAAGAGTTCGGATTTAAGGATCACTGTGTTTTGATAGTAAAACCTAGGTTGATTCTATAGTGCTAATGATAATTAGAAAGCATCGTTCAGAAATCACAGTCTACTTTGGTCCAACACAATTAGCAGTTCAACCAACTAGAGGATAGCAATTAGCGGTTCAACCAATGAGAGGATATCAATTAGCGGTTCAACCAATGAGAGGATATCAATTAGCAGTTCAACCAATGAGAGAGTGGGTGCATGTCCGTCTCTATCATTGCATCATTCTACGTTATGACGAGAGGGCGCGTGACTCACCTGGATCCACGAAGTATGCCGTGATGACGTACATGTCGTCGTCATCATTCCACAGAGTCTGGATGTACTGGGAGGGAGTGCCGGCGGGCACCTTGTCCTTCTGGGCCTGTTTGTTATAACATTACATGTGATCGAGAATATTACATGTTACAACATTACGTGTGGCCGAGAATGTTGTGAGAGTCCTGGCTACTAACCTACGCATAGACATTTTGGATTTTCATGACCATCAAGTTCACCCCATTTTCTGGGTCTTACCTTTTGCCCTCCTGTCGTTTTGTCTGTCAATCTTCACCCCACCCACGTGCAGTCAACTAACCTACTTTATCCGGAGAAGTGACAAACCCACAGCTTAGCCATCCAAGACAACACTACCGTACGTTGCTGAAATAACCATCAAACGTTCTCACATTGGTGTAATCAGAATTACTTACCCCCATCTGAATACCGGCGATGTAGCCGTTCTTGTCGAATAGCAGCATGACCGCTGGGTCGTTGTCCTTTATGAAACGATAACCGTTGTAGAATGCCCCTGAAAATAACATTTGTCTCTTCAATTATGTTCAAGCACATTCCAGACAATTTCGTCAATTCATTCCACGTCTGTTATTTTTTGTTTTATTCTACATTGGTAATACACATGTGCGGATTACTAAAATCTGTCAAGTTATATTTTGTGATGACGCCGGTGAAAATGATGCTGCATTTTACCGTTGCATTCAGTGCCACTGTGGAATGCCGTCCAGTCTGCTGCCTTGGCGTCACTTTCCTTGCGCGGAACGGACTGGAAGTACTGGTGGCTGAAAGGGTTCGCTCCCCACGTCACTGGAGCAAAAAGAGTAGACGTGTGCTTTTTTTACCTCCATGAAAAATGGAGGTATTGTTTTTGGCGTGTCAGTCTGTATGTATGTCTGTGTGTGTGTCTGTCTGTGTTTCCGCAACTTTGTAGTCAGCATAACTTCAGAACGCCTTTATGGATTGTGATGATATTTGGTAAGATGGTAAGTCTTGGAAAGACAAAGGTCAAGGTCAAGTATGGGCCTCCTGGTGGATGACCTTGGTACTGCAGCAGAACTTCCGGTTTTTGTTTCTTTTGTCCTGAACAAGCTATGGTCTTGACTTTTTGGTGACAGATAGCTAATCCTGTCAGGAATAAGTGGCATAAGTTTGGTCCCCCCCAGCAGCTTGTTCTGGAACTGCAGTTTAGTTTCTGGTAAAATCTTTCAAAGCCAATATGTCCAGATTGGAACAACGTATTTTCATCATTTTTGGTGTGTAGGTACCTGAGAGACAGTTGTACATGATTACATGCAAATTATGCAAATGATGACCTAATTTGCATAATTAATGAGGAAATTCTATAATTACAGTGTTTCATATAATGGTACTGCTATACATGTAATCTATTTAATCTGTGGCAGGCCGAACATCAACAGATACCACTTATGCAAATGATGACCTAATTTGCATAATTAATGTGAAAATTCTGTGAATCCTTATTGGTGAATGATGGGAATTTTGCATGCTATGCATATATTATGTTAATGTAGAGGTTATTTGCATAATTAATGAGGACAAAGCAAGCCCATATTTCATGGAGGTATGAGATCTCGGACCTCTTGTTGTTCGTTTGTTCCTTAAAGCTTTGTTTCGCATCACCGATAAACCGCCTGTAAGCGTAACAGACCTGTCCTGTACAGTATGTCAAACATGATGCCAATTCCAAATCCTGCTGAGTCACTAACTCTTACTGGTAGATTTAACGTAAAAATGCCGGTGTGTAAGCTTGAATGAATGAAAGTGTCCAGCTTGTTCTAAGCGAAGTACACGTCATAATATCTACAATATTTGTGCTGACCACTAGAAAAGTGCTTACCTTTGAGATCACTCCAATCCACATCTGAAAATAAAAAATATATATATACAATTGTCGTTACATAGTTGAGAAGAAATGAAAATGGTTTGTCTTACATACAAAAAATATAAAAAGCTACAATTTCGAGCCAAACTGTCAAGTTGCTTGAACATTGATGGTTGTTATCAATGCGTTTATTATCTTGTTAACAGTAAATCCCATCCCCATCATAAAGCATGGTGGTAGCTTAATAGGCATTACCGTGAAAACATATCAAAATTACCCAATCTATTGCCAGCAGATGATGTAGGCGACACCTTTTGTTCAGTTGTGTTTATCAAATCGAATAACACAGATATCGGACATACCGTTGTAAAGAAAACCCTCCGCCGCCACAACGCCGGCTAGCACCAGCAGCACCAACGCGTTCATTCTTCCACTCGTTAGCTTTGGGAGAGAGGGAAACAAGGAAAGCTGGTCGTGTTCACATTATATAGGTATTGATCATGGGACTCGGGGGTCCCATGATCGGGGGTCGGGGGTCGTCCGTTTGTGATGGCGGGTGGTTAGAAAGGAGTAAACCACTCAGGTGTATAATGTCCCCTCCCCTCCCTTCCCAGTACCGGAGGATGTTTCGCGCGCTGCCATCTTTGTCAATGTGCGTTTATGGAGTTAGGTAGTTGTGTTTTAGGTTTAGGGAACGTGCTGAAGACGTTTCTTAAATCAAAGAAAAAATCTCAAGCAAGTCTAAAATGTCTTCACAATTTTAAATGATTAAAGTCTATCAATTGTATGCGGTTGGTAAATATTAGTGATGGGCTAGAGTTAATTAACGGAGAGACCCTGCAATTGCTGTAGGGTGGATAATGGTTATCTTTTTACCGGATTCCGGCCTCCTGATTAGCATTTACCTGAGAGGTCAGCTTATCGTTCTGCAGATGTACAGTAAACAACGACCACTTTGTAAGTGTCGACATCCGTAGTAAAGTTTGAGTGCCTGTTTGAAGATGGCCGGTATACCAACTCTGAATCTAGCACATTGGTGCATATTTAGCATCGCCGGAAAGACCTTTCCTCTTATCAGTAGTCCGTGTACGTAATTCTCTGGTAAAACGACTACTCTAGTACGTTCACATGCCCGTACGTTCATCCAGATGCAGATTCCCATGACACATGTGACCCTGAGGATGCCCTGGTGTAATAGATTTTATTATTACATAATCGGCCTTCGATTTCAGGTCAGGGCGCGGTCGCATTCATCGTACGATGATCGCACGAACGCAAACTTAGGAAATACGTCCCGCATATGTGTACGCTGTCTTGTTGTTGAAAAGGCAAAATCAGATCCTTGTCGATCGGCGTTTGGTTCTGTCACGGCCACCTTGACGACCTACGTATGTATGTGACCGCGAATTTAGATGCATTAAAGCAGTAATTTTCAGTAGAGGTCAGTGCCACTGCCACACTACCACCACGGTACCACCACGGGAACTTTTCTGGGCAACTTCTGTATTGCGACATCACTTATGTCATATGTAATTGTTAACAAATACATACTCCTGTCCTCCTGACTCAGTGCCCCGAATTTCACATCCATATCCATTGGCTTGATACAGGTGTCAGACATTCTTAATAAACACTTTGGAGAAACAGATAGACTTTACATCGCTGATAACAAATTTGTATATTTTGGTGTTTTATACCATTTCTCGGAATTATTTCATAGAAGTAGCTTAGAGAAGCCGTTTAAAGAAGCACTTAAGTCAGGAAATTTTCAGGTAGATAATAATTTGAGGAAGCAAAAAATTATGTTCCCACTAGTGGCGCACGCAATAAAAATATCCAAACTCTCCAAACATCATCCAACAATCCCTGAATGCATCACAACTACATGTATGGCTGAATACCAGGTGCCTGGCAAAAGTTAGGTTATAAAGATAATTTACTGGGAGATGAGAAAAAAAATAATCGTGATGGACAGTCAGGATCAACCTAATACCAATGGTAACTTTTAAATGTTACCTAACATCATTATCTATTCATTGTCGACGTGACAAAAACACTTTGAAAGGCAGAGTTTATTGCAGTTCTTTATTCGTTTCACAAGTAACACATGGACCAAGTGATATCAAACTGAGGTGCTGACATGTAGCCATCCAAACCGTTCTAACATAGAACTATTAAAGAGGTATTTGTTAGAAAATTTAAAGGAGTGGCGATTTCACATATCATGCAATGTCATGTAGACGTGGTGAGGAAAGGTAGGTACATCCCCCTGTTGTAATGGCTTTCTCTACACAACAGATGTAACGTTAGATATAGGGTTCATGTACAGGAGTGAGATATGTTGAAATGAAATGATAAGCTACTCGCCCCCACTTCTTGAGAGACTGTGTTGAAGCGTTTTTAAGGCGAGCTAGCATATGTGTTGTTTTGAGGAATGTTGACGGGGGTTATATATGTTTGTGTTCTGCCAAGGTAGATCTGTCGTAGAAGTGATACGTTATTTCCATTCTCCGATTGGTTGAGCTGCTAATTGTCATGCTATCATTGGTTGAGCAGAGATGTCCTCTAACAGAAGTTGAAGCTAGGCGAATCGTCCAGGTAGATGTGCATGGTGGAGAGTCCACGCTGTACGTGCTGGTCGAAACACGCAGGGGTGTCCTCGAAGAACATCTGTAGTATAGGAGAAACGACATGTAATTAAAGAGAGGGTCAAACTAGTTTATTTTTATAGGTGATAAAAGGAAGAGGAAGTCTCGTGGTGGAAGTCGGAGGTGGGACGGGGGGCGATACCGACTGCCAGGCGACGTTGTGACATCACACATCACGTGGCATGGGCTTAGGTCATTTCAACTAGAGGGCCAGAGGACTGATCGAAAGCGTGTACGTGTTAGCAATTAAGCGCCACAGGTGGATTTTCAGTAAAATCGTGAGGAGGTGTTTTGTCAGTTTAGTGCTAGGAGTTCACTTAATGTTCACTCTCTAGCTGGCAGATGCTGCAGTTATGACATTATCATCATCATCATGTGTCATCCTCAACAGAGGTGTCGAAGATGAAGTTGTTCCAACACTGTCATTCATTGCTGAAAGAAGTTCGTTGCCCGCTAATTAGTCTTAGTTTCTAACAGTTTCTTGAGTGTCACAAATATGCAGTTATGGCGATAGACAAGAAGAAGTGCGGTATCATAAACCACTTACACTGAGTGCGTCTGCTGGTGGACTCTCGTAGCGGGGGCTGTTCAGGTTGGCGTTGATGTTCCAGCCGAAGCCGTTCAGCCTGCCGGAGTTGTACAGCAGGAAGACCGGGAAGAAGTCGTCACAGTTCATGTCGGCGGCGGTGTTGTACCAGTAGTGCTGGCCTACGGGTGGGAACGTTCGAACTTTGGTTGGGACATTTAGAACAAAATAACCTATTACGCTCTTTCTCTTTTGGTACGATCTAGAAATTTTGATCGTGCGACCCAACACACAACGGCAAGGCCCGCAAGGATTAGGTAAGTTGGGCCATTTTCACAAATATCCAGCGTACCCATGGTGTAGAAGCAGCCGCCCTTGGTCCAGAGGGTGGTGCCGATATCAGCCTCGTCCCGGGGGATGGGCATGTTGTCAGTCTCCGGGTTGTAGCCGGTCTGCAGGTACAGACCCCCACCGGTGCCCTCCAGGGTGAAGAGCGCGTCCGAACGGCCGGTGCAGATAGTTGCTGAAGAAGAAAGCTGTTAAAAACACTTCGGCGACGTTAGTCCTGTCAGTCAGTAGTTTACCATTTGTTACATAACTCATGTATGATGTTATATCCTCAACCTAAGTAACATATGTCACAAATACCACAATCGTATTCAAATTTCTGCTTAAGCATTATAAAGTTTCGTATTAGATATACAAATAAAGTCCTCATTTGCATACACCATACATTTGTGTACAATCTTATCAATCCCAAAACGCTTGGAATTGACAGCGCGGAAAACGACCAAAGCCTGCATTCTGTCTAGGAAGCATTCAAAATCAAGTTTAAAGCTGTCGTTAAGTGTGACTAACCTGGGTCGATGAAGTAGGCAGTGATAACCAACATGTCACCATCGTAGTTCCACATGTACGAGATTGGCGTAGCGGGAACACCGGCAGGGAGTTCGGTTATGCGGGCCTGGGGGACAGTTATATGACAAGAAATAATTTTCAAGGTTGAATATGGTAGATCTATACATATCAGGCCTGAATGATTTCAGATGACAATGTCGCAATGGTTCTGGATTATCCAGGGTTCTGGATTATCCAGAACCCTGTCTGAGCATGGTCCTGGATAAAACGCGGTTTGGGATAAAACACCACCATTTGTGACGTGAATATATACCAAAACAAGCCCTGTGTGGTGAGGTTTAGGCAGAGGTCGCTTTCTTTAGTGCTTTGTACTTTTAAACAATGTTGGAAAACGTTCAGTAGACTCACCCCCATCTGAATACCAGCGATGTAGCCGTTCTTGTCGAACAGCAGCATGACCGCGGGGTCATTGTCCTTGATGTAGCGGGACCCGCGGTAGTAATCACCTGTTTACAACAAAATTCGACAAAACATAAAACGTTGGTTGGGTTAACGTTAAAAAAAGATGAAAAATAATTGCACTTTTTCCTGCCGAATTTAAAAACATATGGCAATTGTAAAAAAAATAACAAAGTTGCCAACAATCTGCTATTTTCAGGTCATAAAATGTTTGGCGAATAGGCACCCACTCTCTCTCTCTCTGGTCAAACCGTTAATTGCCATGCTATCATTGGTCGAAATGCTAATTGTGATGGGCAGGCAGTCTATAAGGTTGACGTTGGACAAGGTATTAATGCTACTACTTACTCTATCTTTACATTTAACAACGTCGTACATACCGTCACAGGTGGCGCCACGGCTGAAGTCGACCCACCCCTCCGCAAGGGCGTCACTCTCCGTACGGGGGAGGGAGTCAAACACAGTCGAGCTGAACAGCTGGTTTAGACCCCACGTCACTGGCAAGGTAAAACCATTGTGTCATTTTCCACAGCATGAATAACATGGCCCTATTCAAATGGCTAAATCGCTGCGTGAACGTATAAGCGAGATAACTAATGTTATCGTAAAGTGAAGGGAGAGCAAGAGTCAAGATGGTCAAACGCCTGGTCAGCCGTACTGAAGTTACTCTTGGGTTAGTAGTCGATATTTCGTAAAGAATTCAGCTGTCTTGTGACAGAACAAGCTATCCCATATCCTTGTGGGCAGTTGGTTCTGACACAGCCTGATTGAGAACCCTACAATATAAGCGACCTATGACGAATGTGACTGCAACTTGAACTTATGGGTGTGACGTTACCATACTACCAACAGACTCGTATTTCTGATTGACACTCTCTAATATAGTATCTAAACTAAATGAAAGCATCGCACAACGTTAATAACGTTACCTTTGAGGTCATTCCACTCTGCGTCTGTAAGGTAAATAGGAGAATGCTGTAAGATATGTGCACACACGTACACTATTTATTCCTGAAGGAGGAAACATGGTCCTAAAATGTTCTTTTAAGAATATTTTAGGACCATGTTTTTATCTCTGGACCAGAATGAATCGCATATAGATGTGGCTTCCGTAAAAATAGAAAGGGAATTTGGGGAAAAGGAAACAATTTAAACCAACATTTACGACTTTGAGCAACATACACAGTGGGACTTTAAGCAAGAATGTCTATTTCTGCATTAAGAGTAATCTACGGTTTGAGACATTTGTGTTCCATACAACAATGCAGAAAAAGGTCCATATCGTACCCTCGCTAAAGAGCCATCCCTCCACACAAACAAGGCTGAGAAGCGCCAGGGCTACCACAGTCTTCATGATTATGTCGGCTTTCAGTCGTCAGCAGTCGGAGAGAAACTGTCTCAGTCGGTGGGCCAAGTGGGCGACAAAACGTCAATTTATAGACGTTTACAAACGTAAACAGGTTAAGTACGTACCAGGGGTGGTCCGGAAGGAAAGGCGCGCGGTTCGGTTGTGCGAAGTGGTAATTACGTCATATGCAAATTTTCTCAGCTGCATATTTCTCACCGAAATAGGCAAGGTATCTGGCGTTTCCATCTGCTTTGTCAGGTTGATCAAGATGTTACGAAACGTATCCTTTTACTTGGTTTACACACCTCCGCCAAAACGCAGACATGTAAAATAGAAACATAAAAATGCAAATATATAGCAGGAATGCAGCCACTCTCTCATTGGTCGAACCACTAATTGCCATTCTATCATTGGCTGCAATGCTAATTGACCGTCAGGATAGGTTGATTCCTTCGTTTGCGTGAAGCACACACAACCGGTTCAAACCACAGGGCAAACCTAATATAAACTGTACGGTCGATTTTTTCACGGCCACCATTTTGTTCTAACTTGTTGGAGAGCGTCGCCACCACACTGACACTGACAGAGTCATGAAGACAGTAGTAGTTTTGGCGCTTTTGAGTCTTGTATCAGTGGAGGGGTGGCTGTTTAACGAGGGTAAGCTTTCACCTACGGTTACCAAACTTATATCTGAAATCCCTTGATATTGTTGGTAATGATCATGATTGTGTAATTTCATAGTGTTGGTATGGCTGTCCAATTAGGTAAATATAGGCTAGCGAGTGTGAAGGTTTACCCCATTTGGCAAGGCGGAACAAGTGCAAGCAGAAACGGGGTACCCGAAGACACATGTTGTACTGAGATATAATGAGCAAATGCAGTATTTCATTGAAGATGTCGACGTCTACATTAAGCTTGTTCAACGTATCTTGTCAGATGTCAATACAAATCCATATTATAACGTTGACCTTTCAGATATGCACTTTTATTTTTCTCTACAGATGCGGAGTGGAACGATTTAAAAGGTACCACATAGTTTCTATCTTAATTTGATGAATGTCTTCTGGGAAAATGTGGTAGCAAATCCGAGGTTTGCTGACAGTAAATCGCTGTAATCGTCGGTAGTCGAAGTTACGGATGTTTTAACGTGGTACATGCATGTTTTTTCATCTTCAAAAAATGAAATTCTTTAATTTGTACAGGATGATAAGAAGATTAGACATTACATAATATAGAACATTACATATAACAGAATAAATCAGCTGGATAAATTCATAGTCAGACGTTACACATAGCAGCCACTATCTTTCATAATTCTCAGTCCGACTCTTCATGGAATTTATTAAGTTATTTCAATTGTTCAAATGTAATTTGCTATAGGCTTTGCGCTTTCTCTGGCCTAGAAATTTCCTCCAAATTATCAGGAGACAAAAGAAAGAAACAAAACGTTGTTCGCACAACGAGACTAGTTCTGAATTCCATGTTTTTGCCAGTGACGTGGGGTCTGAACCAGTTGTTCAGCTCGACTGTGTTTGACTCCCTCCCCCGTACGGAGAGCGACGCCCTGGCCGAGGGGTGGTACGACTTCAGCCGCGGCGCCAAGTGCGAAGGTAAATATGGCATGAATACGTTTGCAGATAGAGTACGTAGCATTTAATGCCTCATTACCCATCGTTCATTGGTTGAAGTGCTAATTAGATTGTCATGGAGTTTACATTGGGGGAATAAATGAGAGTAATGCAAGCTTATACTCCCAGACAGATCCAGTCTCCAAAGCAATTTCAGGGCGACAAAAATGAAAATAGATTGTGACTAAGGCAATCTGTATGATATTGACACATGCCCCACATTAGCACATTTGCATCAGTATTCCATACTTTAGACATTGAAACAGCGAAGAAAAACCCTGAGGTGACTGCTAATAATAATTTTCTGTCACAACTTTTCGGCGTGAGTGTCGGATATACTTTGGGATAGTGCTTTTTCAAGGTGGAGAATAGGTACGAGTGTGATCAAAGAATTATGTACATACAATAAGTGAATGATTTTTCTTGGGTGGTCTAACTTTAATCAAAGTGGATTTACTTTGCAGATAGCTTCTATCGCGGGAACCGGTACATCCGGGATGTTGACCCCGCGGTCATGCTGCTGTTCGACAAGAACGGCTACATCGCCGGTATTCAGATGGGGGTGAGTCTGCTGAACATTTGCGATAAACGTTTATTCGCTTCCTCGAAAGACTTTTGATGTCAGCTTTTGAACGAATGGGCCATTTTTTCACAGGTGTGCAGGCAAGGGCCTCACTCACTCACTCACTCACTCGCTCGCTCACTCACTCACTCACTCACTCACTCACTCACTCACTCACTCACTCACTCACTCACTCACTCACTCACTCACTCACTCACTCACTCACTCACTCACTCACCCACCCACCCACCCGCTCACTCACTCACTCACTCTAATAGGTAATTAGCTACAAAGTAATTACGTTACCTGATAGGGCACTATTTGTACTTTCATTCATTATGTTTACCATAGGGACCACTAATGTCAGAAGCTTGAACCTGTAGTCAGACGCTTGAACCCTTAGCTACTCAGTCCTTTTTCTGTACCTTATATTCCTGTATGTATGTCATATGGGCCAAGTGGCTGAAATAAAGTTTAAATAAAAATAAATGAACCCAAACACTGTCGTAGATTTTCATTCATCATTATATTGAGAGGGCTATCAAACATATCCGGGACAGTGTGTCATGTTGTCCCCGTTCCCCATACAGGTACGTAAAGCCGACCTCCCTGCCCACCTCCCGTCTGACAACATGAAGCACATGTGGAACGACGACATTGACATGTACGTCATCACGGCCTACTTCGTAAACCCAGGTTAGGAACACATCCATCATACATGTATATCTGTAAACACAGACCTCTAGCTTCTCACGCAGTAACGTTTGTACTGAAGAACGGCCTTGTGCGTATGCGTACGTACGTGTAGGTGGCATGCGTCGGAGAAAATGCATTTGTGACGCACAACCAAACGCCACAACTTACATGGCTATAACGTTATGCTTTTATATATATGTACACTGTAGCCCGGGTTTCGCGAGCGCTGCTATCCTTATTTTGACGCTATTTTGTCCGGCATTCGGCGAAACATTAAGTTGTTAAAGGAATGGGTATTAGTATATAGTGATACCCTGTTAGTTTTGTGCAGATTGCGGCATTTTTGTGTTTGTTTCACCAACTTTAGCCACTATCTGCACCGGCCGCTCGGAGGCGCTGTTCACTCTGGCGGGCACCGGCGATGGCCTGCACATCCAGAACGGCCCCAACCCGGAGACTGATTTCGAGCTTATCCCCAGGGATGAGGCTGACATAGGCGCGACTCTGTGGACCCAGGGAGAGTGCTTCTACACCATGGGTACGCGTGGAAGCATGTCATGACGATATGATGATAAAAAAACATACATAATAGCTTTCAACACATGTACAAGCTTTTCATGTTCAAATCGAAAGTAAGGCACGATTATTCACATTGGCAATAGGGTCTAGGAGCAGCAAAACACCAAAAATAACGGAACGGAGACCTTGCTAATGTTGGAGTCACAATCTATGATTATCTTACGTTTTGTGCGTTGTGTTGTTTTTTATATCATACTTTTCATTCCCGCACACTGCCCGACGGGGCTCCGGTTTTAAAATGTGACCCTAGCATCCTCATATCCGTAACAATATTCCCTTTCAACAGGCCAACACTATTGGTACAACGTCACAAAGGACATGTCCTGTGATGACTTTTACCCGGTCTTCCTGCTGTACAACTCCGGCAGGCTGAACGGCTTCGGCTGGAACATCAACGTCTACCTGGACAGCCCCCGCTACGAACACCCAACAACCGACGTACTTGATGTCAGTGTTTCTTTTGTCGTCTTATCGAATAGGAATCCAAGTTCCTATGCCAATTATTTATCCACAATTCAGAGATGATTTTTTCTGTGCAGAATTTCAACTGCAACTGGATAAATTCTCTGATCTTAAGAGAATTTATCCAGTTGCTTGGTTTATTGTGTATTGTTCTACCTAGATGGCCTTTCCTTCATCAACACTTTTTCTGTGCTTTCTGTCATGAATATCAAGTCACAGCATTTATTCTACGTCTACACTGCCCACTGCACTAAATAATGGATACTTGAAGCTCCAGCGTCATTTTACGGTAGTTTGACGGGCGCCTGTTGTAGTGTACATCTAAAGCAGAAATGTGCGTATTTTTCTACAGATGTTCTTCAAGGTTATTCCGGACTGTTTCTATGATAACACCGACCCCAGGGGAGCCACCACCCAGCATATCTACCTGGACAGCGCACCTAGCTTCAACTTCTGCTAGAAACAATGCCTTCCTTTGGCCCTGAGGTACTACGAGGACACCACAGACAGAGCTGTCTTTTCCACCCTTTGGACTGGATCGCTCTTTCCACCAACCCCAACACAACTACAGTCTTGACTGCAGACAACAGTCGTACAGGAATCTGGTTACTTCTCCTACCAGACGAAGCGCAGTTTAACCTAGACCAACGCTGAAGAAAACAGAAAACCCCACTACATACAACTAGAGTCTGCATCCATTTCACTCGCATTTTCAGCTGTGAAATGGGAAAGTCTCATGGTCACAAAGTCATGTGCCTCGCCACAACTGATCATTGATGGTGTAAGCTCAATTCACACAATAAATGATTACTGTACAGAAAAAAATATTGATTCCTAACTGCTTCTCACTCATATTATTGATGCAGTGTATTACATTAATTTAGTGAGTAAAACACTTTTTATGTATAGTCATTATTAAGTATAATCACTTCTAGATCTGTCTACAAAAGTTAAGTTTCTGGTGCTGTTGTTTCTGCTTGTGTGTGACAAACTACACATAGAAGATATTATCTTCTATGTGTATTTAATCTGTATATCTGTGAATCCTGATATATCATATCTGACAAAACACACTGGTATCACCTGTCCTGTTCACAGAAGTCTGCCTTTATTTACACAAGAAACATGGTACAAACACTACAGTAAGTAACATTACTAAAACAGTAAATAACACTGGCTTGACTGTAAAAAAACACAACTCCAACTTCACTAGTATGATAGCAGCCATTAACTTTTCACTTAGAGCAACTTCTAACAATGTCAAATGCAAGTAACTCCTACAAAAGACTCTTCTGTGTGGTTGAGGATAGAATGTTATGGTTTTACAAGTAAAACTTTGTGATACACAAAGTTATGAAGAAACCAAACATTACAACACTCTTGCAACGGAGTGTGAACATTACATAAATGATATATAATATTATGGCAAAACTCACATTCAACTCATTAACTGATGCTTCACGAATTTCACTGTGCAAGTGTTTTGTGCATCAAATGGTAGACCACATCATACCTCCCTGTACAAGCCCAGATGTGAACGTTTTTCACTTCACTCATTTGCACTCTGTGAGAAAAGTGCACATTTCACTGGTGAAAAAGGGATGAATTAAAAACTCTGCTGTGCAACCCTCTGATTTTTTTGTAGTACTCAACTGTATAACTATTAATTCTGCTCTCCTGTTGTAGTGAAACCTATGGCACGGAGTGTTTTAATTTCAACTTCTGCTCTACTTTCTGAGGCTATCAATTACATGACTTGTTTTTCATTTAACAAAAAGGGGAAAACCAGGTGCAAAAGTTGTACTTCTAGTACCCAGTCATGTAGCTGCTAGCCTGGTATCCTATTTTACTTGCCAAGTTTCTTTCGTCTTCTGTGAAAATATTAGGGCGAAAGAGACTTTGCAGCTAAAAAACAATGTAGGTTTGGATACCAGGCTAGAACCTGCCTCATACATAAGTGTGATGATCCAGATGTAAGGGCCTGGTCACAAGTACTCATTGCACGATCATTGTACGATCAAAAAATTCTCAGGATAGTCGTAAAAAATCCAGCTGTCTTGTTACCCAAAATGCTGTCTTAGATCCTTGTGATCAGTTGGTTCTGTCACAGCCTGCTTTAAAATTCTACATCAAAATCAAACAACCTGCCACAAATGTGGCCGTGCTACTCGATATGCAAATCTGATGACGGAACACGGGCTATGTACAGTGGGGAAAAAACAACAGGGAACAAGGATTTTAATTCATACTACCAATGAGTCTCGGATACACGTATAACAACAACAGCCTAAATCTGGTTGCTGAACACATTGTTACAACTAGACAACACCTCTTGGACAGAAACATCCTGTCTGCAGCATTTTGTATACTTAATACTCTGACTACAGCTCCAAACTCCTGGGCTGGTAGATTTCTTTTGCTCATGTTATACAAACATGACTGTGGAATGATACTCCGTGGAGTCCTTCACAAGTCTCCCATTGCTTATTAAAAAGTTCTTGTCTTCAGGATTATGGTACATGAATTACAACAAGGTAAAGTTGTACCAATCGTTGAATGGTCGGACATTGTCATGAATGTATTGAGCAGTAAGTTGGCACTTTGGACTTGATCATGGAAAGGCACTCCTGAAAATACAAGAAAAACAGAATGTCACGTAGTGTTTGAGATTTTGTTTTGAAGAAAACAACAGGAAACAGATCCAGAATTTTAATAACATGTCTGAGGATTATCAGGTATAATAGATGGGAGAATGGTTGCCATGGCAACAAACCTTTCCTCCGTTCTGCTCCAGGTGCTGCAGGGTTTTAGTGACATCATCACGGTACTTCTTCTCCATCATCCTCTTGGACAACTGGGAGAAATATGGAGACATCAATCATCAAATTTCACATCTTACGATAAGAATGTTTTCAACACAACAGGGCTTGAAAAGCTGGATGTACACATGTATACATGCAATTTTGTGCATGAGAAATTGGATCTGTGCACTTACTTTTTACTTTGGATGCACCAGTGCACCCTCAAATTGACATTTATGTAGGGTTATGTATGTTGGTACTACTACACACTACCAACCATACAGAATATGCTTAACATTCAAGTGTCAGTAAAAATGATAAAACATAGCTTTCATATGTTGTTTAAATTGTTGACATTAGCTATAGAATTTCAGCTTTAAGCTCTGAAGAGTAAAGTTGGTAATCTGGGATCGCTGAAAATCTACTTTATTGCATGTTGTATATTTTCTGTGTTTCTAAATCTTTAAGTTACGTGCACAAGTGTACCTATTCGCAACAAAAAATGTTGAGCCTTGCATGTAACTAAATGACCATGCAAATCATTGTACACATGTTGTGGGCAGCGCTTACATAGGACAGGAGTGACTTGAGGTGTTGGTTGAGGGCGGGGCCCACCGTGGTGCTCAGGCAGGTCAACCCCGCCAGCCCTCGTTCAAACACCTCCTCCTCTGGAGAGGCCTACAGCAAAAACACATACAACAGACATGTTGTATCATCAGTAATAATAGGGCCCAGAGAAAACAATGTTCTGTCTCATGTTTCAGTCCTAAAAAAATTAGGGTCGGTAGGTACATTATCGGCTTTGTAGGGATTTTTGGTTTTTCTTTTTACTTAGACTTTGGCGATCTCTAGTGATTATACCAATGAGCTCCTTGCTTATACAACACAATGCAGTTTAACAAAGTAAAACTTGCATGAGGACACTTAGGGACTGTACGATATTTACCGGGGGGGGAGGGCCGGTCGTCTGAGGGGGGAGGGCCTAGGATAAAAATTTTGAGCCGGGGGGAGGGCCTAGGAAAAATATTTTAATTTGGGGGAGGGCCTAGGTAAAATTTTTTTTCAAGATCCCTTTAACTCTACAGCGTTTTTATACACTTTCAAAACATGATTAACGTCTGTCACATACATTTTGTAGCGATTTGCCCGTCATTGAAATCGGCAGAATTTTACGTTCCAATAATATCCATCCCTATTATTATAATGTATTCACCCAAATCTCCCACAGTCCTCTTCAAAATCTTGCATTTTCGCCAGAATCGGCGAAACTGGACTACACAGCCAAATTACATGGATTAAAGTCGTGTCAATCGCGGCTATGGAAACGATACCGATCAAAAATGTAGGGAAGGCTTGTCGGAAGATTTTGAAAATTAATTTTCGCCGTTCAACGCACCCTTCCAAGTGGTGTGCGTGCGTCGGCAAAGGTGACCCGCTGGTCCCGCCTCGCAAATAATTATTCGCTCAAACTTCTCGGCGTGGATGTCGGATGTCGACGGATTAATTTGGTATTTTTTTAAACCAAGGACTATTTGAACATTTATATCTATGTCCCTCCGAAGTTATTTGAAAACAACACGTAACTTGGCAATATTGTTTCCCTGTTTGTAATAAAATTGACGCGGAAGAAGTTCGTGGACGAAAGGTAGGCTAGATTTATTTCGATTACACTGACTGACCGTAACGTTACTGACTTTAATAGCTCGATGTACCAGCGAAATTTATGCTGCCAAATTTGCCCCTCAACATGCAAAACATGGGTTGAAATTCAAAATTTTTCCGGGGGGGACATGCCCCCCCCCCGCCCAAAAAGTCGGGCCTACTCGGGCTCTAGTGGCGCCTGGGCGCGATCGCTCGCGCCTTCGGCGCTTCAGGCGGGGAAAATTTTCAATCAAAATCTCGTCCTCCCCATACGAAATTTCACTCTCTATGATTCACGCCGGGGGGAGGGCCTAGGAAAAATTTTTTGAGCCGGGGGGAGGGCCTAGGAAAAAATGTTTTGACCTGGGGGGAGGGCCTAGGAAAAAATTTTTTACGCTACCCCCGGACGACCGGCCCTCCCCCCCCGGTAAATATCGTACAGTCCCTTATATCTTCAATGTCAGTGTTAGAAACCGATTGTAAAACGTTTCATCACTCAGGTGTCAGATCATCATGGAGCTAGAAAAGGTCAATCAGCTCAAAAAATTTGTCCTTTGCTGGGGTCCACAAAAAAAGGGTAGGGTTGTCAGTTTTTTTCTAGGGCCAATCGGAAAACAGGAAACACAACATTCTGCAATTGACAAAAAAACGGGTGCTGGCTAGAGCCTTGCTTCTCGACAAAGATAAATATAAATAGCAGTGAGAAGTTGTTTGAACAGTAAGAAGCTATACCAGAGCCAGCCTGACAGCAGCTGCCACACGAGGCAGGACAGGAACAGCCTTGTCCCCTGCATGGTCCACCTCCAGCAGCTGCTGGAAACCCATCATGGCCACAAACGTGTACGGGTGTTTGGTCTCCCGCAAACCCTGCAACAACAACAAAAAAACTCTGGTTACTTTATTTCCCTGTATATATCAAAATGATTGTGATTTTATAAAATGACTTACATAAAAAAATACATATTACTCTTCTTTCTGATCATGATGCAGGTAAGTATGCAAGAACTGACATTTTCTTAAGAAACACCTGTTTCATAACATATTCTTATAAGTACATTAATAAATGACATCCAAGTAGAACATTACCTTGCATAATAAAAAGAAATCAAGCATATTTCTAGGTACATCAAGGTAAAAGTTAACATAATTTAATTCTAAAACATCACAACAAGTTAAAAGGGTACTAAAAAATCTAGTTCTGTGGAATATTTCTGAAATCTATTCAGGTATCAGAATTAGTCCTTTATCTGCAAGCTTGTCAACAATCAGTAATGACTATAAAAACAGCGGCTTATCGGTAACCCCACTTACCTCTGCTAATGTAACAAGTAAGGGGTCAAAGGGCAGGACTTCTGGGGGCGTGTCCCATTGCAGCTTGTGCTTCACTGACCCATGCATTAATCTGTATAAAAACAAACAAACTTAGAAATGTCCATTTAAGAAATCAATGAAATGAAATGTATCAGCAAATCAATTGTATTTAATTGAATTTAATTCACTATACTGAATGGTATCAAAACAATGTGCATCATTGTGGTTTATGGTTTTATGAACATTAATATTCTCTGTCACTACATAACATCACAATATGGTCCACAGAACGGTGACCTATACATGCATGCCCTACCTGCATGGTATACCACCATTGGTGTACATGGCAGAAAATGCTGTTTCATGCTTTGCTGTGCCATTGAACTGGAAAACAGAAAAAAAGAAGAAATAAGATATTCTAGATCTTTGGCAGTAATTTGCACATTTGTGACTCTATTACAACTACTGAGTAGATTGTATGAATCGAATGATGTTCTTTAATATTGGGACTATGACAGAGACTTTAATACAAATGTAGAGTTAGGAGGTCGTTCATGAAACCCTTGGCTTCTGGCTTTTTGATATTTCACAAGGTTCATCCCATTTCCTGTGTCTTACCTTTTGTCCTCCTATCATTCTGCCTGCCAATCTTCCTACCCATGTGCTGTCAACCTACTCTCTCTTATTAACAAACATCCAAAACATTGATATATACTTCCAAAAAACACAGTAATTCCACATACTCGTGGACAGCAAAGTGCAACAGCAGTTTCACAGTTTTTTAGGAACACGTGATGTAACGTTATGACAACAATTATTATATTATAACAGTTTTTCCAGAAATTTACATTATGCAGTGCCAATTGGAAGCTTTCCATATGCGCTTGTGTTATGTTGATGACAGAGAGCAGACAAAATCAGGGCAGATCAGGGGATTGTGAAGTACTAGTAGATTGAATTTCTGAGAAGAAAGTTGACTCTCCCTTCAAACACACTATTAAACTTATTACACCCCCTCCCACCTCACACACAAACACACACCTGTCCTGATATGACCCTTACACTGTGAGAAGATGTCGTCCCTCCCAGGCCACCCACACTTCACACGGATCAGGTCATAATACAATTTTCACAGCCTAATTTCTAATCCACCGTGATGTGCACAGGGAATACTTCACTCGTTGCTATGGTAACGGAATCGATCTGCTTCGCTCTATTAAGCCTGTGGTATCCTTTTCCTAAGCTTACCGGATTGACAGTTTTGGGGTTGAGTCTGTCGGAAGGTTTTCCCTGGGATCTGCCTTTCCCGGCGGATCCTGCAGACCTCGGCTTCGGCTTGACGGGCCCTCCGAAGGAAGAGGTCATGTTGTGGCCGCGGCGGCAGCTTTGTAAATCACTGCCAGCTAGCTCTCACGACTGTCCCTGCAGCCGCGGTGGTCCTTCACCAAAACAACGTCAGGATACGGGTTGTAGCGACTGGGAAGGTTGATGGCATCTACCTAACGAGCACTTTCCGGTCTCGAGACATCTATGAGTCGGTCTACATCGACGGACGGCCAGTCATTTTCCCGAAACAGCCACCGGAGGTCATCTGACAGGACCAAACGAACAGGTTGCCAACCGTGTCCGCCATTTTGAAGCTATTGCAGTTCATACTTTTATCGCCAGATGGCACCGTTGGACCGTGCGCTCCATAGAGTACCGTTCATTGCCTCCTTCACCGAGATATAACAGGATAGGTAACGTTACATCAGACACATAGGGGTCTCCGTTTTTTTCAAAACCGGCTATCACTTGGGGTGTAGTGCATGTATCTTTATGATATTTGTAGGAAAAGAATAAGGAGGTGAAGATGATCTCAGATGACTCCCTTGTTTACTTTAAACTTGAGAGGAATCTGCCAGTCTGTCCCTGAAACCATCTGAAGGACTCCATCTGGGACAGTGAATCATCCTTTCTGTTCTTGAAGACCGGACGTCTGCTGATAAAGATACACACTTAAATGATACCAATAGGGTTTTTAACCTCTTTGATGATACACAGCGCTGACTTGGACACATATTGTATCAATGTTCCTAAACAAATGCCAGTTTGATGCATGACCTACATTGTAATTTGGTTAAACTGAGAAAATGAAATCCATTATGTCCATGGCTTACATGTTTTATTCACAGTAATACACAGGGACAACAGGGTTACATCTACCCATTCCCAGTGATAAAACCTTCTTTTCATAGACAAAACTAATCTGGTCTTTTACAGAATAACACTCCTTACTATACATTGGTTCATTCCAAATCTTAATTAAACAATGCCATTCAATCCTGTTAAAAAGATTAAATATTATGATTGCAGGGTAGAAGTGGAATAACAATGTCATGTATATAAACTGAAGATCTTGTTCTTCAAAGTGAAATTTTACTACCATAGTGAATTTTGTCATGCTGTCATGGGATGTACGATGTAAATTTAGTTTTCCTTAGCATTAGGAAGTCCTCATACATGTATCTTAATGAGATTAAAGTACAGATTTCCTACATTTAGAATGTGGGACTCGACAACAATACAAGAACAAGAAACTAAGATGTTTCTCACCAAGCTTCTCATCCAATAAAGATACATGTATCAGTGATGTCACTTCTAATTCTTTAAAGCAAACTTTGTATCCATAGTAAAGTAATGCACAACTGAGTAAGACTATCAAGCATACAACTGGCAACTTTGTTGCACATGTGAAAAAAAGTGACCATTACTTCAAACATACATGTATCAAAGAACTAACTAAGGACATTCCAGGGTTCCTACACATACATGTAGTTAACCTCAAAATCTTCCATGATTTAAAGTGAGACATACAGTTTGTGCTCTGAGAATACTGTAGATGATGAGAATATGTGTCTGACACTGATGTTTCCCACTACTCTGTTAACAGCAGCCTCCTGGCTGTATCAGACCTTCCTGCTGCCTGGTGTTGACTCACAGGTGCGGCTGCAGCTACAGCTCCACCCACAGGTGAGGCAGGTACGGAGGGCAGGTTAAGCTCTGGTTCACCTGGAAAATACAAAAATATGTCAATGATATACAACAAAGATTATATGGACTTGTAGTTGTAGAGCACAATCCAACATTGAGACATAACACTTCCCCACATAGTGACACTAATGCTACTGATATTGGCCTACTCGGTAGAAAATATAAAAACCTTTGTTGATTAATTACTAGTCTTGTTTCATGGGACAATATCTAATGTTAACACCAAAATACTGTAATAAATCATTCATAGCTGTGTGAATTATGCTATCAACAAAGTATCTGACAAACCAACTGTTTGTTAGAAATAATGACAAAGTAATACTCTAATTCAGAGATAAAATGTTTGTGGTATCTTCAGGACAGCTATAGCTATATGGGGACAGACTGACAGGACAGACTGAGAGGGCGTCTTACTTGGTTCACCCAGACTAAGCTTTTCCAGTTCCCTTTCCAGGTCCTCATCTGCTGCAGTACTGGGAGTGAAGTGTACCGGGGAAGGCTGTTCTCCCGGGGACGGCATGCCAGGGCAGGGGCCCAGGTCTACTCTAACTGGCCCTGGGGAAACCCCCAACCCACAGACAGGCAGCTGACGTTTTGTAGGGGTGGGGACAGCTGGTACTGATGTCGTTTCTTCCCTCAGTGGCTGCGGAGTCACTGCAGCTGGTGTAGACAAGGCACCCCGAATGAACGGCTGGTTCTTACTAGGTGTCCGTCCTGGTGTCACTGAGGGTGTTTCTTCAGCAAGGAGATCCGCTAGTTCTTCCTCCAGACCACTCATGTCCAGGTCCAGGCCAGACAGGTCGGCTTGTCCGCCGGCTATGCTGTCAGAGATTTCATTGCTTGTCTCAATAACCTGCAATAGATACAGAGCAACAGTATGTAACATCCAGCATTACCAAGGTCTATCTAAAAAGGAAGCTCTAGATAGAGTGAAATATAGATTTAGTAAGCATACAATTATTTTCTGGAGAGAAAATGGTCAGAGAAAGGATAAATTAGGTAGTCATGAAAAATGATTTGTAATTTTTTGTATACAAACAGTCAAAAATCAACAAAGGGCAATGGCAGTTTATATGACAGGAGCATTCTGTAGTATAGATAGATGAGTAGATCTCTGTACTATCCTGCCCTACCTGTTGTACATCCAGCATGGTTTCATCCACTGCCTCTGGTGTCAGGCCTGTTCTGTCCACGGTCTGTTTGAAAGCTGATACTCCTGCCCTGTAGGCATCTATCACCTAGGGCAAGACAGAAAAGCTACTATGAGTCTTCTCTAAGTTGCAAATACAGTCTTCTTTTCTTCTTCCTTTCAATGTCCACGTTATCATGTACAAATGTACAATCGAAATTGCATAATCGTATGTTGTACTTGTAAAACATTGCAACTGACTACATGATTGTGACCACTTATTCATTAAAACTTCCTCCAGCTTAAGCTAGATTCTTTCCAATTTACATGTATACACTTAAGTATATACTTTATTTCTATTTCCTGATCTTGTGATTTTTGGCCACATCACTTTGATTTTTCTCACTCACATTCCTTTTCTACCAAACTAATTTCTTTCCTTCCCAATCCTTCCCTTCCCTTCCCTTCCCTTCCCTTCCCAGTAAATAAATTCTACCCTCACCATCTTGTCAGACTCAGCATCTTGTATCCTCCTAAGGAGCCCATGGACTGTTTCCAAGGAGCCTTCCCGCTTCTCCATGATCTTCTGAATGTGCTGCTTCCTTCTTAAGGCATTCTTTGCCTGGGGAAGAAATCCAAAACATGGTGGTAAGAAAATTAAAGCTGTGAGTAATTTCTAAACCTATCTGTGCTGATAGCAAGTCTTTTGCATAAATGGACCAAAACTAAAGGAAGCCATTACCATATACAAACACAACTACAAAAGAGAAGTAGTAACACATTATATCATATCCACTTTACAACAAAACAGCCAGCAGACATAATTGTAAACAGCTGGAAGATGTATGTTACAGGCAATCAACACTCACCATGATATAAACAAATCATAAAGTCTTTCTTTTTATATTGCTCATTTTATCAGGTCTCTGTTGTTTATCTCTGAGTGTTCTGTGGACTACACATGGCACCATACAGGCTCTGTAAGGCCGTGTCTAAACGGAATCACCCAAGGCGGTGTACATGTGGTTTACCCCGAAGCCGGTTTCAAGTGGCTCCATCTGAACGCTCCGAAATCACATTGAAAGTGCCTCGATCCCAAGCCACTTCTAGAGGTGGTTTCGAATCGGTTTCCCCGCATCGCGATTTGCGTCTGAACGCAATGTGATTTCAATGTGACTTCGCCTGGTCATGGATTACGGAGTGATATTTCTTTTTTTATATGCAATACCAACTTTTACGTGGCAGCAACTTAAAGAGCAGTAATGGTCAAATAATGTGTCCGTTCTAGGGCGAGCTTCACCGCCTCTGGCGGGACCACGTCGGCATTCGGCCGAGATACGCTGGGAGGGGGGCATCAGCAAGCAGGTCGTTGACCTCTGACATTAATAACACGCCGCCTTGCGTGTTATCATCAAACAGGAATAAATGTAGCTCAAGCGCATTATGTTCGGACACGGTTTCACAGGTGTGTGTGTGGCACGTGGACCAGATGTGAGGAATGTGAGTTACCCGAATCGCGGTTTGGGTGATTCCGTATAGACATGGCCTAAGATGTAATGAACAGCAGTCTTTACTACTCATATGTACTTACTGCATTTCTCAGGCCTTTGTGAAGGTAAACTTTGGCATCTGTCCTGCACCTGAACAACATGGAATGGGAAAATTTTATATTTTGTAATACAGAATCAGAAGATGGAAAAAGAAACTTAAAGAAGAATATTGCAATTGTTTTCTTATTCACATGTATATTATTAACCTTCGTTCTGCTGTCTAACCTTGTAACCAATATGCAATAGTCTTTATTAGAGAATATAGCCAAATTGCTACTTCAGCCTGCTAAAGGTTAAACTGAATAATTTCATCAGGTTGGTAAGTACTTTTTCTCACCTGTCACTGTCAGATTGTAACTTTTCCACTTGCTGCATTAAAGAAGCCTCTGTTTTCTTTAATCTGAAAAATAAACATTTTAAAATTTCTGTAATGGCTGTTTGCATACATGTATGATTCACATAATTTTCTATGCCTTAAGCATCAAAGTACATTATCATGTATCTGTTGTATGCTAACAAACATTGTACATGTACTTGCACTACAGCCTTTTTTGATAGTTTTATAATGATCCAAGAGCAGTTAGTACTAGATAACATAGTACATATTATCTAATGTAAATACAGATAATGATATAGTTAAAAGAGATGTCACTTCTCACACTTACCTTAGGATACCAACCTCAACGTCTGTTACTGGTGAGACAGTTTTGTGTGCTGAAGACGCAAACTTAACGAGCTGCATACAAAAACATTCAACATTTTACTGTAATTATAGGGCTACCATGTACATTTTAAATCGAAATTCACAATCACAGAGCAGCATTCAAAAGATGCCCCCCTTACTGAAGATTGTATTGAGCTATTTATACCCGAAGAACTGACCTTTTCCCCTTCCTCTGACTGGAAGATGCAGACTTTCCTGAGTTTCCTGAGGTGCAGCAGTGCCAGGTCCAGTGTGTCCTGGTCCTTACAGCAGTGTCTGCACTGCTCCAGTAGAGTCCTGTACTCCACAACATGGTCTGTAGACTCAAACTCCACCGACTTCTCATGGGTAGTCAGCACAGCTTCTGCCTTTTCCTGCATTGTGTACAAAGTGCTGTAAATTCATCAATGTTGGCAGTGGTTTTAGGAGAAAAAAAGGAGATTTTTGTCATGTTTTAAATTTGTGGTTGAAATAATTCTGTGGTGCAGTGGTGGTACATTGAAATGCATATATTTGTGGCATCATGAATTTGTGCTGAAGAGGTCACCGGGAAAACTTTCTTGATGCCATTTAATGTTTCAAAATTCACAGAATAACATAGTGGCCTGAGGGGAAAATGACAACAGCCATTTTCATAATTTACTAAATCATAATAATATTAAAAGGCAGTAATTATTCAATCAAAGATTGTAAAGAGTGTTGACCACCGTACTTTGACCAGATCGAGCAGGAGGTAGGTGCCCTCGGGGTTGCCATGGTTACGGCCAGTGAGTGTGCCAAACGTCCAGCGCAGCGGCCGCTTCACCATGAGATCAAAACCCCATGACGCCCAACCTGCATCCACCCCTGACTGGAACTCTGACAGCTTCTGAATTTTCCCTTGTCTGGAAATAAAAACAGAAAGATCACATATGCATTAATAAATATAATATATATATCAGCTGTTCATCCATTTGGATGAGATGATTCATAATCTAATAATTTCTGAGAAGATACTTGAATGAAATATTGTTATATTTTTATGTTTCACCTTCGCAAAAGGAAAACATATTGTTTTTTGCTCATCATTTTCATCTGCCTCTTTTCTTCTTCTCCAGACAAATAAAGTCAATGACCAGACATCTGTCACCATGGCAACTGGTGCTGTGGCATGTTGGGTTACATTTTGTAGCAGGGCAGAGCAGGAGGGACTGGTCACCATATACATGTATATGAATGTGCTTGACTCATAAATATAAACAGAGCAGTAGTTTGTTAGGCCAGACAAAATTATGTGAAGGCAGATATTATGCATTTGCTTTGCAAATGTTACCTTTCTAGTTATTGTCTTACCTGATCATCTCATTCAGCACTATTGGCAACCCAAGCGGTGTCTTCCCACTCCTCTTAAATCTCTGAGGTAAGGTAGAACAGTCCAGACATATTTCGTCCATGCTTCTCGAACTGTGAACAACCAAGTCAGCCCAGAACTGCACTTTGCTGTCCCAGTGATGCGGGTTCAGTTCCCGATTGTCTGGGAACGCGGAAAAGAGAAAATTCATCCTCTCGTCATCCTCCCAACATTCCGGTAGATAGTCAGCATCCCCTGCCATCGTTTGGACGTGCTGTGGTCCTGTAAGAGGGAAATATTCAGCCGGAATTTTGAAGTTTCGGTTGTCAAAGTTCAACTTTCCGCCATTTTGCATTGAACTTTGACCTTTTGATACGAGTTCTCGTAGATTGCGAGATAATAAACTTGGTTGGCATCCGCTCAAGTCTGGAGCGGCGTATTTCAAATATGATACGGCAATTAACATAAGAGGGGCTTGTATGATGCAACATTAAAGTTTGGCGGGTGAATGTTTATGTAGTGGCGGGAACACCTGGGGAGATACCTGCCGACATCTCAAGTCTCGCCAAAACGCGAGAATTAGATCGGGCATGCGTCAGCTGGCACACCGTGTGCGAAATTTCCAGGGAAGTTCAACCCGTTTGTTTTGTTTTTAGTTTGACGTTTTCTTATTTCTCTCCCTGCCCGAAGACCCCGATCGGAGCAGCAGAAGACATGTACACCCTGAGGAAGTGGCTGTACAAGCCAAAGGTATGTCGTGGACGTTTTCTTTCGGCGCCAGTTGTTCGCGACGTCGTGAGATTTGGCTTGTTTTTATCGCGGATCCCATTGATAAACAACCAAAACACAAGATTGTGCGGGCTAGTGGCGAGGTTTGTTGCCCTCGGATGACGAAGGCCAGCCCGTAGATGTTGATAGGCGGCCAGCGCTCTAGAGTACGTGGCAGCGATGTTGTGCAGACGACTTACAAATTGTCGCTAGTGTGTACGATCGCGACTTGTCCCAGGTGACTAAGTGGGGAGGGGGGCAAATGAGCATCTAACACTGAACTCGGACAAAGACAGGAGGACTGGCAAATTATTTTGGACACAAACCATAGATCGGAGCATAGTTTAGATTGAAGTCTTTAAACCGAGACGACACGACTGTGTTTGAGAAAAAAATCACGGAACTAAAAATTATTTTGACCAAGAATGTAAAAAAAATTATAATAATTAACGTTATACTCTTTTTAGTAGTTCACTACCCAACATGATTTTAATTTGATTAAAAAATTACGATGAACTTAAAGCAGTTTTTACAAATGTCTGAAAGTTGCTGAATTTAATTTTGCTTGATAGGTATTGGTAAGTATGATTTTTATTTTTGTTATGTCCCCAAGCAGCGCTAGCGAAAGTTGCAGACTAATTATGCATGGCATGAATGTGTATGTGTTTGTAATCGGATGGGTACCTGTGTTATTTGCCCTGCTGTTACATGTGTTTGACCAAGGAGCTTCAACAAGTGTGATATAACATTGTTGGTTTGACTTGCTGTTGTTGATTTGATGAATACGGTGTAATCGACACAAATATGGAACCATCTACCTTCGCATTCTTGTGAACTTTGAAAGTACAGTTACACTAGACATGGCGACTCTTGCATCAGGTGTTTTTGCTGGTAGTCATGTACATATGTTTATGAAGACATACTTACATAACACTACCAGCAAAAACGTACATAAATTCAACACTCTCCACAGCTACCGTGGATACACCTGCTATTACTACTTGTAAAGATGATGCATATTTCTTTACCATATGTCGGTAATTCGCATCCAATTGCTTTGTCAGGACTCGAAATATTGGGTGAATATTAAATATGCACATATGTGTTAAGTTAAAATTTTTGATCCAACTCCAACACATATTTGTACACCCAAAATTAAAGCTGTGCACTGGTGCACCTGCAGATATTTGTATAGGGTTATGTGATATGCCTGGACCATCTTTTAAAAAATAGGCATTTGTTGCATACTTAAATACATCTCAGGTATATGTGGAGGTCAGAGTGCACAATCAATTTTTAAGGCAATAAATCAGTTTGTTATTCTTTTGGCTCATTGGTCTAGAGCAGTTACTTCCTAATACCAACCTGCAAATATGAAACAACATGTACAAGTTTTGCCCCTATACTGTGCATGTTTATGTACACTATCTATTGCAGACAACTAACTGTTTTAGACAGGCAGTCAGATAGATATCTTTGTAACCTTTGCTTCACATGCGACCTGAATTAACAAATGTCACAGGGTTCTTTACTAGTAATTACAACAGGCAGTATTATCTGTGTTTAGTTTATCCAGTTTGTCTTGAATGTCTTCTTTTAAGTACGTACTGACGTATATCTATAAGTACTCACTGTTAATTGCCCTTAGGCATAACATGCCATTTTTGCTCAGTCATTCCAAGCTGCAGTGTAAGATTACATATGGTTTGAGCCACTCATTCCGCAAAGGGCCCTTACTATTTTTTATAAGTGCGATGCTGGAGGTTTGACACTATGTTCCATGTCTGAAAAGATGCTCCTGACCAAAGCTACATGTTTATAAGGTAAAGGTACTCATTTTCACCTGAGTCAAGTGAGGAAATAGGTGTAAAGTGCCTTTCCCAAGCACACAACATTTGGGCAAGTTACTGCTTTTTACGATATGTAGTGTTATACAATGGTTGACTTCGCTTATCTACAGTTGTATAGACCTATTTAAAAAAAAAAAGACAGCAACAAAGTTAGAGTAGCATTCTTTTGAGTTTATTTGGATCTTTTGAGGTAATGTTAAGATGCGCTTGAATGTATGACTGGTATATACATGTAAATGAACATGATTATCTTATTCATCAGACAAAGGACCAATATCACATGTCACTACATACAAGAGAATAGATGTTGCATTAAAATCTAAAGAAGCACTTCTCTTATGGAAGTTTATAATTATACATTTTGGAAATCTTGGAAACTTAAGTTAAAACCTGTTTGAAGAATGATTTTAATGTAAGGAACAAAGTTTTCCATACATGTGCTTGTACATGTATCATTTATTTTAAATTTAATTTCAGGTATAGTGTTGAACTATTGAAATATTGTAGGCCATTAAGACAAGATATATAAATACTGTGGAAATAAATAGAAATAGTTGCACATAAGTAAATACTTTAAACATTATGATCTACACATAGATATACATTTTTGTACATTAAATAATGTATTTAATACAGTAACTTTATATTTGATGAGGTACATAAAGGCCCTCTTGATTATGACTCTTTAAGTCTTTTGCACTGAGACAGCATGATACCAGGCAGCAGTCTATATTTTTGTGGGTCATCAGCTGATGTAGCAAAGATAATGTGTTTTACTTCTGCCAGTTTGATTTTTTTACTATAATTTTAGTAATGCTGAATTAAAGACCTATGGCACAAGGAATTATGTAAATATATGCATACAAGTTAGTACAATTATTTTTAGTCAAACGTGTACCACCTGACCTGTACATGAAGACCACCTGGCCAATGTGACTACTGTTTGGTGGCTCCTTACATACATTTTCACCATTGACATGAGCATTAAGAATCCTGTGTATAGTGACCACCTGTTCACAAAGGCCAGCTTTTATTGGTCCCCTGAGTGGTTTTGTACATCTAGTAGTAATCACCAGTCCTGCTGGTAAGTACAGAAAGTCTGATTCATTTTTGTTACCTACTAGTACTGTACATGTATCTCTGCTATCTGGTTTGTCAGCAAATTTGGTCAATTTCAACACAAAACCTGGGAAAACTCTGGTCTTCCTCAGTAGATTGACCCAGTGAGAGTTGTCACATTGCTTCTCTGAAGTGTATTGTTAAGACCAATTGATGTTCTTTATCTGACATAGATGTTCTTTTTATTGGTCCTGCTACATCCACATAGCTTTTGAAGAAGTACAGGCTCAGTTCAGTTCGTTCTCTCTAAGAACCTCTGTTCCGGTGTTTGCAAGAAGTTTGACCGCAATTGTTCCACCTGTAGCACACTGAGAAAACACAAGAATGAAGAAGTTCACATCTGAGAACATTGTGCGACAACGGAGATAGTTCAGCAGGGTCGTGAACATGTTGACCAGTATTACGCGGAGAAAGTTGATAAAGAACTGCTCTATCAGAAGCTCCGTCTCTCTGTGCATGGCATCTTCATCTCGGTTGTGGAGATACACCCAGATTTTCTTCAAAATACACATCTCAGTTATGTACAAAAGCAAGCTGACAACACACACAACCAACAGAAGGATCTCAGTCTTCTTTACCTCCACCCCTCCTTGTATGAAGGCGATACAGTTGGCCAGAGAGCAGGCTATGCTGATAGATGTGACCACAAGACTAAGAAGGGAAGGAAGACACATCCAGTATGTTTCCTGGCGTTGAAGAATCTGGCTACACGTACAAGATTGCTTTGTTCCAGAGGGGCTAAGGCTATCTGTGTCTCTGTTAGGTGAGCTTGGTACAGAGCTGCTTGCAGAGGTAGGTGGAATGGAGCTTGTACAAGAGTAATACAGACTTTGGATAGAGCCTTCACTGTGGAGGTTGTTATTGATGGTCAGTGCATCAGTGCTGGCCTCACACGAGGCAGGGTAACTGTTCTCACTTCCCTGAGAGTCCATGTCAGTCACAGAGATCTTAATCTGGGGTATTCCACGCTTAATATGCACATTTCCCTCCTCCACATCAGAAACAGTTCGGCGAACATGCCTTGGTCTCTTCATCTTCGTGGCACCCATCGATCTAGACCTGTTGATTCGGACTTTAGTTGGGAACTTTCGTGGGAGCTCTACCACAAAGAAGTCCTTTGGTATGGGATGGCCGTTTCTGCTCTCTACCATTTGTTTGTTCCTCCTGTCAGTGTGCATGTGTTGCTTCTCACTGCCTTCGTCTATAACATTTAAACAAGAGAAATACATGGACTCAGCTGCCAGGTGGTGCCTGCTTCCACGTCTGCTGCTCGCCCAGATGCTCTCTCCTGAAGAGCCGTTGCTGTTCCCATCACTGATCATAGGGGGCACTGTTAGCAGGTGAGGCTCTGGCACTGACAAGCAAGGCTTATCTGTAGATTTGGAACACTGCAGAACCATGTGGAGCTCTGATGTCCCAACTTCTCCCTGTGGTTTAACAACACATGATTCTGCTTTCAATGAGGATTTTTTGCTATGTTTTCAACATTCTTACATGTACATGCTTTTTGTCTTACTTAAAGTAAAATGGAATATAAGCATCCATAAAGTAGGTGTCAGGAAAAATACCGGTACAGGCATCTATGATAGCTTACATTTGTACAATTTCGAGGCTCATTTCTCTTGCTCTCTAAAAAGTACATGTACAATACAGTACATACGTTTAGCAAGTAACGTTACATGTACATAGCTTTGGCAAATGTAGAAGGAAATAGTGAATGCTCAAATGACTACAGCCTGTATTGTCTAATGTAGCACAGGTGTAATGCTTCAACATTGCATTTTGTTTGTCTTCATTATTAGTTTGCAACACCCCTCAGTAGTATTGTGGTTACTAAGATGAAAAGATGCATGAACTTGTTTAGGAGGATAAAGCTCATACAGTATGTAGAATTAAAGGATTCCTGGATATGGAAATGACTGTTGAAATTTGAATGCCAGTGCATTGGATGCACTCAGGCTTCATATCGTTCTTATTTCTTCTCGAAATGTCCAAGACACAACAGATTTTGAT